CTCTCTCTCTCTCTCTCTCTCTCTCTGTCGAGCACCATAATAAGGCGCTCTGGAGCGGTCAAACAACAACAACAACAACAAAAGCCGCACATGCCAACAACAACTACTACAACAGCAGCAGCAGCATTTTTCAACCAAAGCGTGACGTCAAGCGGAAAAATCGACCCTCGTTGTTGCTTTTGCTCTTATGCAAATTTCGACTCATTTTGAAATCAAGATTGAATATTTTTCATGTAGTGTCTAGTATTATGTTGGCGAGCTGCAGCTTCTTTGACCCAAAACAACAACGGGCTTTCGTCCTGCTCCCTTTTTTTCGTCACGTCAAGAAGAATGGATTTTTTTCGGGCGGTCCTGACCATAAAACCGTGATACGACAAAGCGTCAAGGCGATAGCCCACCACCACACCGGCACCACACTGGCACCACACACCGCCATCCTGACCGTGCTTCTTCGCAGCGGACCCTTGCTGACCCTCTGGAGTCTACTTTTTAGTAAACCTCAGTTAACCTAGATTTGATAGGAATTTTTTGTTTCAAACATATTTCTCTTTGATTTTTTTAAGTTAAGTCACATTTGGAATTAAAAGCAGTCAAAAAGTACGAATCACAGGTTATCACTGAAACCTCTGCGAATCCCATTTCCGTTTCTTCACAGAGTCCTCGATTCCAGTTTCGCGGCCTGCGATTTAATCGGCCCCTTCCGATCCCACGGCTGGCGCGGCCCGGCCCGGCCGACGGAAGGGAGGAACTATAAACCAGAACGGCTCGATAGATCGGCGCAGCCTCGAGCACGGCCTCGAGCACGGCCTCCAGCACGGCCTCCAGCACGGCCTCCAGCACGGCCTCCAGCACGGCCTCCAGCACGGCCTCCAGCACGGCCTCCAGCACGGCCTCCAGCACGGCCTCCAGCACGGCCTCCAGCACGGCCTCCAGCACGGCCTCCAGCACGGCCTCCAGCACGGCCTCCAGCCGGCCTCCAGCACGGCCTCCAGCACGGCCTCCAGCACGGCCTCCAGCACGGCCTCGAGCACGGCCTCCAGCACGGCCTCCAGCACGGCCTCCAGCACGGCCTCCAGCACGGCCTCCAGCACGGCCTGGAGAAGCAGCAGGCAACCCGTGCTGCAGGCTGCGAGCTGCGAGTCACAGAAAGACGAGCCACAAGAGTGGTTTCTAGAGACGCGCTAGCATCCGCCAGCAGCACAATCCCGAGCAGTGCTCGCTCGGTCACTCTCGCACCGCGCGGCGCCCCGTGAGTGCGACAGAGACGGAGGAGGGCTGCCAGCCTGCAAGCCGTTTCGGCCAATACGGCGACGGCATGCCGCGACGCTCCAGCGAACAACTGGGGGAAGGGGGGGGGGCATATAAGGAGGGACGAAGAGTGGCAGGGGACGCCTGTCATGCACTTCGGAAGGCAGCGAGGGAGGGAGAGAGAGGGAGAGAGGCTTATAGCCGAGGAGAAAAGTGGCATGGGGCTGGGGGAGGGTCCTCGCTAGCTCCAGCGCTCCAGAGGCTCCAGCCAGAGGCGGCCAGGCAGGCAGGCAGGCAGGCGCCCCATATCAGCGCTACGGCGCCACCCCCTGCCTATTGGATTTCAGGCCCTGGCCAGCCTTGGCGCCCGTTCTATCGCTGCAGCCAGCCGGGCCGGGCCTGGCCCCACCTCTCGGACCCACAGCCTCCGCCGCCACCACCTCGCCAACGCGCGGCCCGATGGCTCTGGCACGGATTGGGGCCGGAGGAAACGGAACCAGCCCCCCTCCTCCCCCCCCCCCCAACCGAAGTGGAAGCCAAATTTATTGGCGCCAAAGTTTACTCACCGCAGCCAGCCGAGCCGCCCAGGCGCGCTGGCGGCCTTTTATTTGGGCTCGGCGGCGCGAGCGCGGCAACACGGGGCAACCCGCGGGGGAGGCGGCGCGCACACACACATGCAGAGACAAAGCGCGGAGGTGAGCACACACGCACACTTCGATAACTCGATGTCAACAACATCTCTCTAATTGTGTCGACAGGGCAAATAGTGTGTGTCTGCGCACCGCGCCCGTCGCCGCGGGGCACACACACAGTTAAACACACACAAACACACACACTCGGAAAGCTAGAGAGGGATCCACACACGACATCAGCGCTATGATTTCCCATTGTTTGCCTCATTCCATTTTTTCCGCCGCCACCCCCGTCGTCGCCACCTTGCCCGGGTGCCCCATTGTCCGGGTGAAGTTGAGTGGCGACCATTTCCCGCAGCGCCATGCAAATGGGGTTTCCGTGTTGCCGCCAAAACCAGAAAGCCGAGGAAAAAGCAAACGCCATTCATTGGCGGCTGCAGGTGCTATTTCGCGACAGCGCACAGTGGACCAGAAGACCGGTGGAGGCGGCCAAAACTCTAGACGCGTTTTGAGCTCCAGAGTAGCTAAACAGGACTAGAACCGAGCGCGTGACCCCTGCATCGGATTGCTCTCCGAACGAGGAATCCATTGGTGGGGTCACACGTTCGGTTCGAGCTCCATTTAGCGCCTCTGGAGCTCAAAACGCGTTTAGAATTTCGGCCGCCTCCATCGGTCTTCTGGCCCACCGTGTCACCGCCGAGCCAATCCACAGGAAATAGAGCGGCCGCACTCCGTCGTCTGCGGTCCAAGCTGGAGGTATTCGGGGAGGGCGGTGGTCACGGCACTGGCACGCCACTGCCACGCCACTGCCACGCCACTGCCACGCCACTGCCACGCCACTGCCACGCCACTGCCACGCCACTGCCACGCCACTGCCACGCCACTGCCACGCCACTGCCACGCCACTGCCATTGATCGGACCTGATTCTGGGACATTCAACAAGCCTGGCGCCCCCTCCCCCGCAGTCTTTTCTCGAGGTGGACCAGGACCAGGCCAGGAGAGGCGCGCAGCAACAGGTACCAAGGTACCAGGCACCTACGAGCCGAAACTGCAACTAGCTTGTTGTTGGCTGGACTGTTAATTTCTTCAACACAGTTTTAAATTTTAAAAAAAATTCTACTATACACGTTGAGAACTCATTAAAAATTGAACCATCGGCGGTTTTGAAACTGTTCGAAGATCCAAGGTTAAACAAATTATCCGAAATTTTCCACTTTTCAAAAAAATCTGCTCAAAATTTCAAACAGTGTGGGCGGACTGGAGGCCGTAGCTCTTGGAGAAGACCAGTGTTGCCCCTCTCCCCCCTTTTCTCCCGGTCCGCGGCCGCCCGGGCCGTCGAGGGCTTAGCGTGGCAGGTGGGTATCACAAAGGGAGACTTTATAGCGTCCTGCGGTGACCCTTGCGCGGGGGCCGTCCGTAAAGGGCCACTCTCGTATCAGTGGGCCAGTCGCAAAATAGGACTCGAACCGAACGTGTGACCCCACCAATGGATTGCTCTCCAAACGAGGAATCCATCGGTGGGGTCACACGTTCAGTTCGAGTCCCATTTAGCGACTATGGAGCTCAAAACGCGTCTAGAGTTTTGGCCGCCTCCACTGGTCTTCTGGCCCACTGTGCGCCGACCAGCAAGGCTTCCATCATCCACACTGCGCCTGGACAGCCGCCATCAACAACTCGGACGGTGCTTTTCGCTCTCTCCCTCCCACTGTTTCAACGAGCCGGCCCCGTCCGTCCGACCGTCCGGGCCTTGGCAGTGTAGGCTCATGGATCCCTACCAGGAAATGCCACTTGCGGCCTTTACACAGCTTGCAATACACCGCGCACCGCGCCGCACCGCGCACGCCGAGTCGAGTTTGTCGAACCCGCGAGGGGAGCGCGACAGCGAAGCGATCCGGACAGCAAACCTTTTTCCCGCCGCCGCGAAACACTCGGACAACTTTGGCGCGTTAATATTGATGGGTTCGTGAGGCAGCGGCCCCTTCAATACCGATTGAAAACAAGAAGAGCGAGAAAAAAGTTAAAATCATTCCGCTTGTTCCACTTCCCGGAAGGCCGGCACAGAGAAGCCCCCCCCCCCGTTTTCAAGCGCAATCGGTGTACGCTTGAAATCGAGCGTTGCAGGCTTAATCGCTGAGATTCCAAGCGCCAAATTTCTTACTTTCAAAAGTATTTAGTTTTACGAATGCTTGGACGCAAAGATAAGACATTCCAGCAAGCAACTTGCATCAGCGACAAGAAACGGTTCAGAATGGACTAAAGCATTTTCACTTTTAAGTTTGCCCTTATGCCATGCAATTCTGAATTTATTTTCCCCCACCTGCTTCGCAGCCCACATGAACCACGGGAGCCTCCAGCACTTGCGCTAGCCTCACCCAGCCGTCACAAAAGAGTCCCTCTGCTTCGGGCGTCAGGAAAAATCAGGCCAAACACACGCGCGCGCCAAATTAAATTACTGCCAGCTATTTTATTTTTAATTAATTTTTTACGTACTTTCAAAGCAGAGAAAAGAGACTGGAACGAAATCCAGCCCTGTCCGACTCGATATTCGGGTCGGAGAGGCCGTGCCTCGCTACCGCCCCGAGAGGGGTGGGTGCATTCCTCAGCGATGGGAAACGAAAAAAGAGAGAGAAAGAAGGATGCCGCACAGTGGGCCAGAAGACCGGTGGAGGCGGCCAAAATCCCCGACGCGTTTTGAGCTCCAGAGTCACTAAGCAGGACTCGAACCGAACGTGTGAGCCCACCAGTAAGATTCCTCGTTCGGAGAGCAATCCATTGGTGGGGTCACACGTTCGGTTCGAGGCCCATTTAGCGACTCTGGAGCTCAAGACGCCTCCAGAGTTTTGTCCGTGTCCACCGGTCTTCTGGCCCACTGTGTGCCGCCCTAATCCAGGCCAGCAATTCGTTCCCAGCCATTCCAGCACAGCCTTGTCCAAGGACTTGGCGCGAGCCTCCAGCATTCCGGAGTGCAGTCACTGGAAGCACGCCAGCGACGAGTGCGAAAGAGGGCAAGGAACAGATGTCTCGGGGACGCGCTGCTACACTAGTTTCAACTCGGCTGGAGGGGCTCTAGGCATACCGAACTAGCGAAGCCAGCCTCTTCACGCCTCAGAACACCTCACCACACTCCCGCACTGTGAGCAGCACAGCACACTGCCAAGCCTGGAGCGCCGCGACCCGACACACGGTGTGCAACACTGTAAACTCTCTGGAGCACTGGGGGGTGTGCAACACTGAAGCACTCTGGAGCACGGAGCCACGCGGCTGGAGCGACTGGAGAGGATGGCCGGTCGATATAAACAAGAGGCAGGCCACACGCGTGGCGGTGGCGGCTGGCTCGGCCCAGCCAGTGGGCCAGCCAGCCAGCCAGTGGGCCAGACACTCAGCACTCGGTACCAACCTCACACACACCAACACACTGGCACACAGCGCGTCGGCCCGCGCCGCCCTCCGCGTTCGTCGCGCGGTCCGTTCACTTCACTGTAGAAAGAGTCGCGGACGTACGCCGAGTCCACTGCGCGGCCCCCTGCCAAGTGAGCAACTCCACCCCCTGCCCGTGCCTCGGAGCCCCCGCCGCCCCGCCGCCCCGAGGAGGCCCCGCCGCCCCGCCGCCCCGCCCCGGAGGGGCCCTGGTGCGCATGTACCAGCCCGCCCCACCCCGCCCCAGCCCGCCCCACCCCGCAGCGCGCCCGCCGCCGTGCCCCTCCCACACTGTATAAATGCGATTTAAGGTGAGGGAGGCTGGAGGGAGCGGGACGCGAATTGCATTCTGGGGCTGCGTGCGAGACTGTCGGAACAATGCGCAGTGGGCCAGAAGACCGGTGGAGGCGGCCAAAACCCCAGACGCGTTTTGAGCTCGCAAGTCGCTAAATGGGACTCGAAGCTAAGGTGTGACCCCACCAATGGATTCCTTGTTAGCAGAGCAATCCATTGGTGGGGTCACACGTTCGGTTCGAGTCCTGATCAGCGACTATAGAGCTCAAAACGCGTGTAGGGTTTTGGCCGCCTCCGCCGGTCTTCTGGCCCACTGTGCAATCCTGGTGAATGGCTTCGCCACGAATCTTAACGCGGAGACGCGCAGTCAAAGTTCTTCTCCGCGCTGTCGGACCGAATTTGGTGGCGAAGTTTGAAACGAACTTGGCGCGCGCACACAACACAGTACACACGGTACACGCGGACGGCAAACACAGCGACCGGCCGAAAAGGGTACACTGCTTTAAAGGCGGGTCGGCCATCAGACCCCACTTTTTCGTTTGGACAGATGGGGCGGCAAAAAAGTGGGCCAACAGTGCCTGCAGCGAGGCAGCCAAATGAAAGCATCGTCTCTCTCTCTACCGGCCCGCCCGTCCGCCCGACCGGAGCGCAGGTGAGTCCTTTGTGTCGTCTGACACGGGCAAAGACATCAACACTACCAGAAAAAGACGTTTCCAGGGGCACTCAAAATGGCTGGCAAATCTTAAACTTCAACCCAATCCGTTGTTACGTCATACTTCGTCAAGTCCGGAAATTTATTTTTACAGTGGCGGGAACGTGGTTTTCGTACGCACGATGCTGCCGGGAGTCTCCCCCGCGTTCCGCCAGGGTCAAAGTATGATACAGCATATCCGGCGCGCCGCTCACGGGCGTCGCACAGTGGGCCAGAAGACCGGTGGAGGCGGCCAAAATCCCGGACGCGTGTTGAGCTCCAGAGTCGCTAAGCAGGCCTCGAACTGAACGTGTGACCCCACCAGTGGATTCCTCGTTCGGAGAGCAATCCATTGGTGGGTCACACGTTCGGTTCGAGGCCCATTTAGCGACTCTGGAGCTCAAAACACGTCGAGAGTTTTGGCCGCCTCCGCCAGCCTTCCGGCCCACTGTGCGGCCCCGTCCCTCTCAGACCGCCGGAAAGAGCGTCGCCGCCGGTTTTCAGGCCGATCCGGTTTTGTTCTGTTTGATCAGGCCGGCGAGGCGGGGCGGGGATCGCGGGCAACGAGATGACTGTCCCCGCGCCGGAGCGGCGAAGCGGCAGCGCGAGGCGGCGGCGCGCACAGTGGGCCAGATGACCGGCGCAGGCGGCCAAAACTCTGGACGCGTTTTGAGCTCCAGAGTCACTAAATGGGACTCGAACCGAACGTGTGACCCCATCAATGGATTGATCTCCGCACGAGGAATCCATTGGTGGGGTCACAAGTTTGCTTCGAGTCCTGTTAAGCGACTCTGGAGCTAAAAGCGCGTAGTTTTGGCCGCCTGCGCCGGTCTTCTGGCCCACTGTGTTTTGGTTCATTCGACGCATCCGACCTGTGGAGCCCGACGGACCGACGCCGAACGGACTCGCTTCCCCTCCTATATCACTCCTCATCACGATTTGAGTGGGGGAGTCACACAGCGACGGACAGATAGGCAGACAGGGCATGACAGGCATGCTCGATGGGCCGGCGCACAGTGGGCCAGAAGACCGGCGGAGGCGGCCAAAATCCTGGACGCGTTTTGAGCTCCAGAGTCGCTGAATGGGACTCGAACCGAACGTGTGACCCCACCAATGGATTGCTCTCCGAACGAGACGGACAGTCCAGGGAAAGACTAGCGGCAATTAGTTGCCTCATAAAGGCCGCTGGAACATCAGCCCAAAGACACACCCAGCGGCCCCGCGGCCCTAGGCGAGCCCAGAGGGAATGGAGCGGTACTTAGCCCGCCCCTCCAGCGCCTCCAGCGGCCCCAGCGGCCCCTCGGCAGCACACTCTAAAGGGACTGGATGTTGTGCGAATGCGGACCCTGTACCCCGGAGAAGCAACAGCCTGGCCGAGAACAACAATGCCAAAAATAATTACAGCTGAAAAAACCCTCTTTTTAAAAGAAACCTTAAAAATCCTAACAAAAAGAAAGTTAGTTTCATTCAGGCAGGCCAAGTGGAGACGAACGAGCAAGGCCTCAGTACCTCGACAACTGTTTCAAGAGTTGCTTATAAATATGCGGCAGAAGTGGGGGGGGGGGGGGTCAGTTTCAAAGGAAAGTTGGGGAGGGGTCCGACCGCGACACGACGCTAGCTGGCGCCAACTATCCGGGGAGGGCGGGAAAACATGCAAGCAATGCCCGTCCCCTTCCCTTCCGTCTCGATCCTGCGCCACTTTAAGGCAGACCCTCAGAGAAGCCACAAAAGCGGCGTGCTCAACGAGGGAGACAACCTGGAAAAAGCATCAAGGGAAGCAAGAAAAGAAGGGATCTTTCTGAACGCTCTGACAATGCAAGACACCAGTCGCCAGGCAATTTTTATTTTCAATAGGTTGAAACACAGTTAGCTGAGCCACTGGCTCTCGGGGACCTATTCTTAGTCCAGCGAGGCCTTGGGCGGCAACAGCCGGCTAGATACGGCTTCTCCGAGCCACAGTGGGCCAGAAGACCGGTGGAGGCGGCCGAAACTGTAGACACGTCTTGAGCTCCAGAGTCGCTAAACAGGACTCGAACCGAGCGTGTGACCCCACCAATGGATTGCTCTCCGAACGAGGAATCCATTGGTGGGGTCACACGTTCGGTTCGAGTCCCATTTAGCGACTCTGGAGGTCAAAACGCGTGCGGGATTGTCCGCCTCCGCCGGCCTTCTGGCCCACTGTGCGAGCACTGTTAAACCAAACGTGGACAAGTCCACACTTCATGGTGTTGAGTAAGTCTCCACACTTGGAAGTGCAGAGTATGAAGACTCCACACTTCAAGTGTGGAGTAGCTCACAAAGCCCCTATCTCTTAGCATGGTGCAAACGTGGACAACTCTGCGTTTGAAGTGTGGAGGCTGCAAACTCTGCACTTCCAAGTGTGGAGACTGAACATTTCACACCTCTGCATTTCAAATGTGGAGTTGTCCACGTTTGGTTTTACAGTGAGCCCACTCGTTGGAGGCCAGCGGGCAGAACGCCGTATGTCCGCAGGGGGCCCTCGTCAGATACACTGTAGCGAGAGGCGTTCCGCGACTCAGTGAGGGAGCTGGGCAGTCATTAGTTCCAATTGGATCGCCAACGGCGTGGGAAACGTGGCACTTCACTGTGCAGACTATCAAGAGCCTGGTGACAAACTTCCAACAACCTTCCGACCCCTTCCACGCCTTGAGACGACAAACCGACAACTTTTCCTCCTCCTTAAGTTTCCGCAGAATATTTTCCCAGAAAAGCTCGAAATTTTCCCCGAGAAGCGTGTTTGCCCGGTGCCAACTCCAGCGAGGCTGGACGGACCCCCGAAATGCTGCATTCCGCGCCAGCCCGGCCTAATTGTTGGCTTGCATGCGGGCCAGGGCTGGTTCCAAACAGCGTCGCCCCGTCTCTCTCGCACGCATTGCGCACGCGCGTGCGGGTGCGAGAGAGACAGACGAGGGCTTGGGCTGCGCCGCACAGTGGGCCAGAAGACTGGCGCCGGCGGCCCAAATTCTGGACGGGTTTTGAGCTCCAGAGTCGCTAAATGGGACTCGAACCGAGCGTGTGACCCCACCAATGGATTCCTCGTTCGGAGAGCAATCCATTGGTGGGGTCACACGTTCGGTTCGAGTCCCGTTTAGCGACTCTGCAGCTCAAAACGTGTCCGGGATTTGGGCCGCCTCCACCGGTCTTCTGGCTCACTGTGTGCCGGCCGCGGCGGGGCTCGCTCGCGCCAAAGCGTTGCTGTTCGCGCCCTATCCGTGCCGCAATCTGCTGTAAAGTGGACGCATCCTGTGTGATATCCTGCGGCTAAAACCCCATCCTCTCGCTTACTCGCACAGTTCCCACCACTCTGCAAACAGACATCATCAACTTTTTAGTTTTGACACCAGTTTTATTTTCTTAAATAATTTGTTTTGTGGGAGAGTTGGCAGACAGCCCCAAGGGCTTGCTTACTAGAACTGGAGACTTTTAAGAGAAGAACAGCCGACCGTAGATGGGTTCATAGTTTTATTTCTCAACATTTACATAGTATTATAATGCACTTTTCTAGCACTCATTCAGATGCACTGCATGCAATTATGAAAACAAAAAAAGAATACAAACACGTCACGTGCGCGACTGGCACGCTTTCTAAAACAGGACAAACACAATAAATGAGTTTGCAATAACTTTGGTTTGCCATGCGCAAACAAGTGGTGATATTTTGACTAGGACTAGCTTACCGACCGAATTCAACAACCTTACTTCTACACGATGATCGCACCGTCGAGGGAAGAGGGCGGCTTACAGTAAGGAGGGACCGGAGAGAATGCGACCAACATTGACCACGGCGTCGAGCCCCTCGAGGCACGGACGTGCACGAAGAACGTACCCCTCGGGGATCCCCGCCAAAAATCCAAACACCCTCATCAAAGGTAGCACTGGGAAATCTGTGAGTTGGGCTCCGCAGCTCATAGATTCCAAGTGGAAGGCCTCTTAAACTCGAGTAACTTGAGGGGGTCTGACCGACTGCTTCTTAAAATGAGAACCTGCCTCGTGACCATGTCGGGAAGTGGGAGTCCGTGGTTCAGTCTTATGGGTTTAGAATATCATTACGCAGTCGTCGAAACGAATTGGCGCAACACAGCGTGCCGTGTTGCGTAATACCGGGACTCTCACGACCTTCGCCAACACGCAAGTTCACGGGGCTCAACCACGGAGTGGAATGTCACAAACATGGCAGTAAAGTCTTTCGTTACAAATGTGGATCATTCAGTATTGCTTTTTTTTTTGCAAAATCTATCGAGTCTACACAGAAATCGGTTTGAACTAGGACCAGGGCTATGGACCGAGAGCTATGTCCATTGGTGGAATCGCACCAATGTTACCTTCAGAAAAATTAATCTGAGCATTTTCTTTAGTGTTGTTCTAAACGTTGCACTTTCACCTCTTTTACATCAGTGAACTAATCTATAAAGCTATAACAAAGTGTCGAGCAGCCTACCAAAGTCTCCACAAACTTTATTTAGGACACTTGATACATTTTCTCCTGAGCGCAGTTCAGTACATCCACTAATTAACAGTAGTAAGTTAAGTTAATATAGTTACAATTACACAACAATAGCACCTTAATATCTAAAACACAGTCGTCTTGCAACATGATAAAATCACAAGTTTATAAAAATACATGCTAGTAAGTTGAGCTTTCTAAACATCAAGAAAATTTTTAACAGGAAATGGAAGTTCTGAAGCCACTCAGGGGCAAGAGAATGTAGTAAAAAATGGTGAGAAGGATTAGATTAGCAATCAATAATTCACAGAAAAAGTTCAACTAAATGACACGCTGTAGTTTTGCTTGAAAATCGTGACTCCATTACTTCCGACCCTTAAAAAAAGAAAAAACAAGAAAATAACAAACATCAAACGTAAATACTATAACAAATAACAACAGTTATGATTAGGGAAGCGTTATTTTAAGATAGGACGAAAGAGTCTCAACTTAGGAACAGTTCCGATCTGGGCCATCGTCGTCAGAGCGTAGCGAGGCGCCCCTACCGTGAACAAGAGAGCGGGCTAGAAGCTTTGACTTAAGAAGCATCCGTCCAAATAACGTATATCACAATTAGTTTTTTGTTTAGAATCAAACATAATTCGACCATTTATTTAAAATCTATTTACATTTTCATGGATTAAACACGAACCTAACCATGATTACAACAACGCGATCAAGGCAAACCTCGGCTAACCTGTATTCACAACAAGCAAGGGCACTTTTCAGCGACATTCAAATAACCTATGCCTTTGTACACGACTATAAACGAGAAAGCGAGCGATAAAAGGAGGGACTCGCAGACAAAAAAATAAAAATCAACCAACAAAAATACCCTTGCACGAGAGGGAAAAAAGCATTTGACTAGAGGAAGAGGGATTAGGTAAATTGACACGCCTACGAAAACAAATGCGCTAATCTGAATGTACCAACGATTTAAAGAAAAAGAAAAGATGCAACATTTACAAATACATGGTGCTATTGACGAAGTGCAAATCGCTTACGGTGCATGGTTGATGCCAAGACTGCTCTATGCTAAAAACAGGCCGGGTGCGGGGACACAGCACCCCAGCCTGTCTGTCCTATATTGCTGGGCGGCGCGCCGCGGCGGTCTCAGCCGGCCTGGGGCGACACTGGAGCGTGCCACTCACCGGGGTGTGCGAACGCGCCGGTGAATCATTGCCGGCCTTCCATCACTACAAGAACGAAATTGGTGAATCGAATTTGAGACTTTTGTACAAAAGGCCCGCATGCAACACCGGCACGTTCCAGTCCACTCGATTAAAAGTACAAGTCAGCTGCCTAGCAGCCTTAAGGAAAACTAAGAACGGCTTGCTAGAGGTTGCTGGACTCCTCGTCGGGCTCCATGCCGCCCGGGAACAGGTCCATGGTGGCCCTGCAGCAGGGCAGCTCCCTGTCGCTGCCCTCCAGGGACGCCAGCGACTCGGTGGCCGCCACCGGCGAGTGGTGGTTGAACTGGGGGATCTCGGGCAGCTCCAGGTCTTGCGGCGGCAGCGGCGCGCGCTCTTTGTCGATGGTCTTCTGCCGCGGCAGCACCGGCGGCGGCGTCTTCTTGGGCAGGGCCGCGGGCTGGGGGGCGGCCTGGGGCGCGGGCTGGGGGGCGGGCTGCGGAGCCACCTGCGGCACGACCTGGACGAGGTCGGCGGCCTTGAGCACCAGGGCGTCCCTCGGCGGCGACTTGGGCGGCGGCGTCTGCGGCTGCTGCTGCAGCTGGGGCACCTGCAGCTGCTGCCGGGCCGAGGCCGGGCCGTCGGCCGGCGTGGAGGGCGTGGCCGAGGCCGTGGCCGGGCCGCTGGGCGTGGCGGACGAGATCTGCGACTGCTGCAGCTGCGAGGACTGCAGCCCCGTCGTCTGCGCGCGCTCGCTGCGGCTGGCCCCGCCGGCGAACTTCATGCCGCGCCCGGACTGCAACAAAGGTGCATGGAGGCGGTCAAAGCCCCGGACGCGTTTTGAGCTCCAGAATCGCTAAATGTGGCTCGAACCGAACGTGTGACCCCACCAATGGATTGCTCTCCGAACGAGGAATCCATTGGTGGGGTCACTCGTTCGGTTCGAGTCCTGCACAGCAACTCTGGAGCTCAAAACGCGTCTCGAGTTTCGGCCGCCTCCACCGGTCTGGCCCACTGCGCGAGGGGTAGCGCCGCGGCGCGCGCCCGACGCGGGGGGTAGCGCCAGCCTCGCCGGACCGACCGCCGCGCTGAAGAGACTCTCCTCCCGAGGGAAAATCGCACTCCGCACGCAACGTAACTTCCTTCCGCTTAATCCCATCTAATCCAGCCTTATTTGTAAACCCCCAGCGCTCTACAAGCGCCGTCTTACAATCCCAAGTGGATCGTGCTCGCGCCCTCCGACACGAGCAGGTGAAACCTACCCGCTCCAACTTGTTAACATTTCCCGCGAGTTCCTTCCCTTTTCCTGCTTCGTCCGCGAACATGACACCACTGTAGTTCGACGCGCGACGTGCGTTGGTGGCGGCGGAGGGAGGGGGACTTTCCATCGAGTTTGCGCCGCACAGTGGGCCAGAAGACCGGCGGAGGCGGCCAAAACTCTAGACGCGTTTTTGAGCTCCAGCGTCGCTAAATGGGACTCGGACCGAACGTGTGACCCCACCAATGGATTCCTCGTTCGGAGAGCAATCCATTGGTGGGGTCACACGTTCAGTTCGACTCCCATTTGGCGACTCTGGAGCCCAAAACGCGTCCTAAGTTTTGGCCGCCTTCACCGGTCTTCTGGCCCACTGTGCGCCGTCGCCTTTCCCTTGGCCACACGCCGCGACGCGCCGCGAGCCGCACACCTTGACTTATGGCAGCCTTACCACGCCTTAGGCAGCCGGGCTTCACAACACGGACGGGCCCCCAAGGGCGGGGCGGGGCGGTCCCGTCGTGTTCCCTCTTTGCAATGCAGGAGCAGGCCGCTTGCAGGGATTTGCCCGGCCAGCCGTGCACAGACCGGCACCGTTTTACTCAGCAAAGGAACGGACCGGGACTCGTCTGCGACCATTGTGGCCCGAATATTGCGTCACGTTTCATTCGAAATAGGCCAAAAAAAGACTGCTTAAATTTCAGCCCCGGTTAATTACACGTACAAATAAAATTATATTTTATATTTTTCTTCGTTCGAATCCCATCTAGCGACTCTGGCGCTCAAAACGCGATTAGACTTTTGGCCGTCTCCACGGGTCTTATACACTGTGCTTACCTGGATGTGGTTCTGGCGGACGTTCTTGTAGGGCTGGAAGATGACGAGGTACACCTTGGGCACGAAGAGGCAGCCCAGCACCACGGTGGCGCTGATCTCCACGCACATGCTCATGGCACAGGTCCGCACCTGCAAAACGCCGACGACGTCAAACGGAATCCCCGACGACCCGCTGACGACCCAGAAAGGGAGGGCGACAAATAATGAAGCCAAGCAGAATTAAAAACAAAAAAGAAAAAAAAAACAGCAACAAAAAACAGCAAAAACAAAAACCAGCAAAAACAAAAACCAGCAAACAAAAACCAGCAAAAACAAAAACCAGCAAAAACAAAAACCAGAAAAAACATACCAGCAAAAACAACAAAAAACAAAAAAGAAAAAAAAACAACAAGAACAACAAAAAACAGAAAAAAAATGAGAAAAAAATAAAAAAACAAAACAAAGAACTTACACTTTCAAATGCTATGCGGCCGAAAACGGCCAAAGCGAAAACGCAACACTTGAAGGCGCGACACAACAGGAAAAAACGGCAAGCGGATGATGAAAAGTAAAAATAAACAAATTAACGAGTGAATCCATAATTAAGTAAACCAGCGGGGCTGAGAAAATGGAGCCGGGCGGAAAGATAAAGAAGCAGCAGGTGGCGAGGAGGCCCCACAGGGAGTCAAAGTGTATAATCTCGTCATTTTAAACGGTTTGAAGCGTTTAAAAAGTTGTGCATTAATGCGTTTTCAAATAGTGACATTAAGTGCTCTTGCGTTCCCAGAGGTCAATACTATAATGTTCTCCACAGTGTAGTCGGCGTTGTGCGAGAGTGAAGGGGCGTGGACCGCAGTGCTTCGCAGACGCGCATAGCAAGCAGTGTCGGGGCTGGAGGGTCCATGCAGGCAGGCGTCACTACAACAGTGCGACGGACGGTGGCCACTCGAATCCGGACCCTCGCCCTGACGGCCTTCAGGAAGGCCTGGATGACAACGAGTAGGGGTCTGCGGACCTCTGGTCACTGACGTCGACGCCGAGCCCACAGTGGGCCAGAAGACCGGTGGATGCGGCCGAAACTCTCGACGCGTTTTGAGCTCCAGAGTCGCAAAATGGGACTCGAAACGAAAGGTAACCCCACCTCTGGATTGCTCTCCGAACGAGGAATTCATTGATGGGGTCACACGTTCGGTTCCAGTCCTGTTTAGCGACTCTGGAGCTCAAAACGCGTCTCGACTTTTGGCCACCTCCACCGGTCTTCCAGCCCACCGTGCAGCCATCCAGGCAACCGGAGACCACTTGAGTGATGCCAAAATTGGAGTTGGAGAGGGCGACCCAGTTAGGCGTCCGAACAACGTGACCTACTGTGACGTCACTGCCAAGAAGTGCCCCATGCAGTCGGTCCCTGGGGCCCCTGGGGTCCGGGGGCCCTGCCTGGGGCCCAGTGGGGCCCTTGTGGCTGTCGGCCGTCCGGCGACCGTCCCGCGGCGACCCAATGAGCGGCTAGCCCTGGCTGCCCTGGCCTGGCTCTGGCTCTGGTGGCCCAAGAGAGCCGCCGAACTTTGGCTAAAAGCTCGGGGGGGGCCTCTTGGCAGAGCCACCGGCGCTTGCCACGCCACTGCCACGGCACAGCCAAGTCTTTCAGCCTATTTGCATACACGAGGGTGGACCGGCTAAGGTGAGGGAGGCTCGCCAAACAGAGGCGTCTCTGGGTTTTCAAGTTTCGGCTTCAAAGGTGCGTTCGAAACCGAAGGGCGGGAGGCCCGGGCCGGGCCTGGGCCAGGCGAGGGCACACGGCGCGGAAAACAAGCAAAGTTTTCTTTGCGAGTCTGCTTTGAGGAATGGCCGGGACACAGCTCGTGTGGTGTGGTGTGGCGGGGCGGGGCGGGGCGGGGCGGCGTGTCAAAGGGGCAGCTCCGGTGGCACCCACGCTCCACCACGCCCCGCCACGCCCCGCCACGCCCCGCCACGCCCCGCCACGCCTCAATAGGTCAAGTTAACGCCATCTTCTGCAGTTGATGACACGAACACCAACGTTACGCTTGGGCGCATGCGGAAAGGGCCTCTCTCACGAAACGTGTCTGGAGCGTTTGGCGCGGCGAACAGTCGACATTTCCTCACGTTGGGCAGAGTGGCCGCGGAAGGCGACGCACAGTGGGCCTAGACCGGTGGGGGCGGCCTAAACTCTAGACGCGTTTTGAGCTCCAGAGTCGCCAAATGGGACTCGAACCGAACGTGTGACCCCACCAATGGACTACACTCCGAACGAGGGATCCATTGGTGGGGTCACACGTTCGGTTCGAGTCCTGTTTACCGACTCTGGAGCTCAAAACGTGTCTGGAATTTTGTCCGTCTCCACCGGTCTTCTGGCCCACTGTGAGACGCCGAGCAGCACGATCAAATTTCCGTGCCTTAACCACCAGCGCGCCGCGCAGGACGGGACAAAGTTAGAGGGGATCGAGTTTAGTACCGGTTGTTGCTACCTTGCGGCCGCGCTGCCGGGCTGCCTGGCCGGGCACTGCACTGCAAGCGATGCAACGATGCCCCAAGTTAGTCCGTTCCGACTTTGAGCGCATTGTAAGCCGCTGCAAGTTAGGCTGAGCGTGTGGGCGTGGAGGCAGACCGAGCTTTGCAGTGCCGGCAGCCACCCTGCCTGCTAGGCAAGGCCTTTAGAGCAAAGCCCAGGCAAGCTGAGGTCGGCAATCCTCCCTAGTCGCTCACCTTGTGGTCCGTGGTGCCGAAGTAGATGGGTATGAAGGCCAGCCACACGATGCACGTGCTGTACATGGTGAAGCTGATGTACTTGGCTTCGTTGAAGTTCTCCGGGATCTTGCGCGTCTTGAAGGCGTACAGCGTGCACATGGCGATGAGCATGAAGTTGAAGAGCAGTGACGTCATGAGCGACTCGGTGGACTCGGCGCACGTCAGCATGACGGTGTGCAGGGCCGTGTGCAGCTCGTGCGTGGAGGGCGGCTCGTAGTAGACCCACACGGCGGACACCACCACCTGGATCATCACCAGGGCTACCCGAAACAAAAGCAACATTACTATTACACTATGGAAAAGTAGTTTTTTTTCTCAGATCAACGCTATACCGGTGCTTGAAATCAATTTTAAAACCTGAAACCTGCCCCACAGTCGGCCAGAGGACTGGTGGAGGCGGCCAAAACTCTAGACGCGTTTTGAGCTCCAAAGTCGTTGAGTGGGACTCGAATCGAACGTGTGACCCCACCAATGGATTCCTCGTTCGGCAGGGGCGCCGGAAGTGTATTTCCTCAGGGGGGGGCAAACAATTTTAAATCCTACGTTAATTACCCCCCTCCCCCACCAAAAAAGGTGCTTAAAAAGACCCTACTCTTTCATGCACCGCCTCGGGAAGGCTTTGACCGCTGATAGTTTAGGAGCAGTGGTCTCGCAAAAATGGTCAAAAAGTGAATGAATTTCAGAAAATCATCGTTTTTGCTGACTTTGAACTGTCACTGCATCCAATTTAGTTGCGGTCAAAGGCCTCCCTCGACGCCTTACTATTCTTAAGACCCTACTCTTTCAGGCCCCACCTCGGGAAGGCTTTGACCGCTGATAGTTTGGGAGCAGTGGTCTCGCAAAAATGGTCAAAAAGTGAATGAATTTCAGAAAATCACCGTTTTTGCTGACTTTGAACTGTCACTGCATCCAATTTAGTTGCGGTCAAAGGCCTCCCTCGACGCCTTACTATTCTTAAGACCCTACTCTTTCAGGCCCCGCCTCGGGAAGGCTTTGACCGCTGATAGTTTGGGAGCAGTGGTCTCGCAAAAATGGTCAAAAAGTGAAAGAATTTCAAAAAATCATCGTTTTTGCTGACTTTGAGCGGTCACTGCATCCAATTTAGTTGCGGTCAAAGGCCTCCCTCGACGCCTTACTATCCTAAAGACCCTACTCTTTCAGGCCCTGCCTCGGGAAGGCTTTGACCGCTGATAGTTGGAGCAGTGGTCTCGCAAAAATTGTCAAAAGTGATTGAATCCCCGCAAGTATGATTGTCATTTCATTGGATGATGTTGATTATTTCACTGGTTACCAACTAGACGCGCAATGATTATCTTGAGTCGGGTACCCCTTGGAATATGCTGTCCCATTTTTACCCCGTGTCCTATAATTGCTTGACCCTAGGCTCGATTTTCGCAGCTTCCCACCAAAGTCCAGGGGAGGCGATGCCCCCCCTGCCAAATTCCAGCGGGGGCAGCCTGCCCACCCTGCACCCCACTCCCGGCGCCCCTGTCGTTCGGAGAGCAATCCATTGGTGGGGTCACACGCTCGGTTCGAGTCCCATTTAGCGACGCTGGAGCTCAAAACGCGTCTCGAGCCGGTCTTCTGCCCCAGCGTGCCGCTTACCCGAGCAGATGGCGACCTGCGACCGGGGCGAGGTGCAGGCGGGCCGGCGGATGCTCCTGGCGCCCTGGTTGAAGATCCTGGAGATGCGGTTGGTCTTGGTGAGGATGGCGGAGTAGCAGATGGAGAGCGCGAGCCCCGGCATGATCCTGGAGACGAAGCACGTCTCCGTGCCGGGGCGCGCCAGCAGCACCACGGGGGTGCAGAAGCACAGCGTGCAGCCCAGCAGCAGCACGTAGCAGAGCTCGCGCCCCGACGCCATGATGACGGGCGTCGAGTTGTACCGCACGAACACCGTCACCGTCATCACCGTCCACAGCACCATGACGCACGTGTAGGCCAGCGGCACGAAGGCCCACGGCGAGTCCCAGCCCAGCACCGTGGGCTTGATCTGCAGGGAGGGAGAGTCATTCAAATGAGAGCAACTGCACTCGTAAAAAATTGGAAAATCTCAAAGAGTGCGACCTTTTTCTTAAAAAAAAAAATTGTTTGTAAAAAAAAAATTGTAATTTTTTTTAAAAAAATTGTACTATACCATCTGGAAGCACATTCAAAACAAAAACTTTTGAGGTACTGAAATTTTTTTATGACCGGCGCCACCAAATCCGGAGTTTTTTTTGAAAGTGTAGTCGCACAAGACGGGCGAAATTAAAGCGGGTTCTCACCTTGTAGCAGTCCGCCCGGTCCAGCGTGGGCGCCCAGCCGACGGCGCAGGGGTGGCAGGTGTCATTGTTGGCGTACGCGTTGGGCGGGCAGGGCACGCAGCTCCAGCAGCAGTTGTCCTGGAACCAACGCAGTCACAAACTATTTCGGGCGCAACTCCGGGCTTGGGGGACGATACCACGCCGGTCCCCGCCGGTCCCCGCTTCGCCCAGCTATTACGGCTAATTTGGGTCTTCTGCCCGAAATAGTGGCGGGGTGTATTTTTGTCCTGAGTCGGGGTCCATGATGGGGACGCCGACGCCGCTTTCGAAACTACGTCGGGATCACGGACCAGAGGGGTACACTGTGCAGCAACACGTCATCACGGCTCCACGTGGACCGCTAAATTACCCCGCTGACCGGCGGCCCACCGGCCCGGGCCAGTGAGCAACCACCTCCGATACAGCGCTCCCTCACCATGTACGCGCAACAAGCTCTTTGTATCTGCCCGGCCCCCGCCAACCCTCCTGGCCAAATCTCCAAACATAGTTTATTAAACAGCGCCAATTTTAGGCCAGTGCGCGGAGAGAGGGCTGGTTCGACAGTTCAGCAGCCTCGGGCCGCCCCAGGCAGGAGAGAGAGAGAGAGAGAGAGAGAGAGAGAGAGAGAGAGAGAGAGAGAGAGAGAGAGAGAGAGTGAGAAAGAGAGAACTGGGTGGGTTGGCCTGTGGCGACCAGCAGCTCATTCCGAAAAGTGCCCTGTCTCTCTCGCACTCACGTGGCGGCGGTGCGAGCGTGACAGAGCGACGAGGCACTGTAAAGATCCTACAGTGGCCTGGCCTACAGTGGCGGCGCTACAATAGCAGTGCTTCTTTCCTCGCCGTTTCTGGGGGCAAATTATTGCTCTGCCAGAAAGGGGCTGTGCATAGTCCTGGGCAAATGTTGCTGCGTACAACGCGGCCTGACCGCGACGGGACGCGTCCCCGGGGAGCAGCCCCCCCCTCTCTCTCTCTCCCTCTCTCTCTCTCTCTCTCTCTCTCTCTCTCTCTCTCTCTCTCTCTCTCTCTCTCCCTCTCTCTCTCTCCCTCTCTCTCTCTCTCTCTCTCTCTCTCCCTCTCTCTCTCCACGGGTGATGCCCGCCGGCCTCTCAAGTACGGCGTGACGGCGAAAAAGTAGCCACATCCAGACGTTTCTACTTCGCAGCCACGCGGGGTGCCGAGACCGACCAAGAGAAAACGCCCAGCAGCAGCAGGGAAAAAAAGAAAACAAAAATTCTCAGTTGGGTCGCGTCTAACCCCCGGCGGGACTCGAACCCCCGCCGGGTCTTGACCCCACCTCGTTGACCGGGGGTCGCGCCAGCAAATCTCAGCAGCGCCTACCCACAGTGGGCCAGAAGACCGGTGGAGGCGGCCAAAACTCTAGACGCGTTTTGACCTCCAGAGTCAGTGAATGGGACTCGAACCGAACATGTGACCCCACCAATGGATTGCACTCCGAACGAGGAATCCATTGGTGGGGTCACACGTTCGGTTCGAGCCCCATTTAGCGACTGTGGAGCTCAAAGCGCGTCTAGAGTTTTGGCCGCCTCCACCGGTCTTCTGGCCCACTGTGCTACCCTGGGGTTACCTTACCTGGGGTTAGGTCCCGCCCCAAAAGAAATCAACGCACGTCCCGTCGCCCTCCGTCTCACTTACACGACTGCGACCGACGCTCGGCGGCACGACGAGGCGCCCCCCGGGGCCGTTGCCCCCGGACACCCCCCTCCCCCTCTACGGGGAGAGGCCGTACCGGCGCGTACCCCTGGTGATCCGGCCCTGAGCCGAACACAATTGGACATGGCACGGCGGCACCGTGACGGCACCTTGAGCCGCGAGGTGGCCGACACACTTTTTTCAGGACCGCCATCAAACCTGTCCACCGCCACTGCCAGGGGGGGGGGGGGGGGGGGGGGGGGGTCTAGGGTGTATTGGGACTTACGTCATGCTTTTCTGAAACAGTGGCGGCTGAGCGCGCAGAGGCGTTGATCTGCTTCTTCAGGGGCTGAGGTTCGACTCCCTGCAATCCTTTACATTTTAGGAGTGGCTTTCCCGGTGCGGTTTGGACCCGTTGCGCCACTCGGCTTACCCGGCGAGCCACGGTGGCAGAAGGTGTTGAGATCTCTGAATCCTATACTCGGATCGAGCGATCGAATACTAGCATCCCGCTCTTTTTGTCTGACTATACGGTTCGGACCAGCGGCTTCAAATGCTCCCCTTCGCACATCGTCACCCATGGGCCGTGGTGGCCGAGAGCGCAGAGGCGTCGGGTCCCGACTGCGGGGTCCGGGGTTCGATACCCAGCACCGCACAGAATATTTTGACCAAGCTTGCATCGCAAGAAGGCGGTTCAAGTATACAAAATCGGGCGGCGTCCTGTGTGCCTCTCATAGCCCAGTGGTTCCGCTGCTGGGCAGGGTGACGCAGACTCCTGAGTACCAGTAGCATGGCCCCTGAGTGGGAAGGGGGCCGGGAACGAAACCCGACTACTGGGAAAGGTGGCAGCCTGGCCTACTATGAGAGGACTCCTCCACATCACAGATGACGTGACCAATGACGGGGCCACTGCGGTTTAACTCTGAGGTTGCTCCTGTGATGAGATGGGGGAACCACTGGTCCACCAAGCCAGCGGGGAAGAGGGCCGGTTCGCCGGGGTGCCCTCTTTCGCTGAAATTTTCTTTATAGTGTTCATGTTACTTCTGTTACTCTGAATACATTTTGTGTTAAAATGTCTTTGGATTGTAAATTGTAAATTAAAAAATAGTTTTTTTTCAATAAGGATTTTTTTCAACAAATTTTTTGTGTGTTTTCTTAAAGGACAGCACACCAAGAAAAGCGGGCGACGCGGCAGAGACACCGCTTTTCCGCTTTTCCGCCGTGGCGTTCGGGACGCGGCTGGGAAGCGCGACACGGCCGACGGCCGCGACAGGGAAGAGGAAACAATCTATATGTATGCATCGAAAAACCAGAGCCATCTGCCGAACTTCCCGTTTCACTCCGTCTGTGTGCGTGTTTGTGAGAGAAAGAGAGAGAGCGAGAGAGAGAGAGGGAGAGAGAGAGAGAGAGAGAGAGAGAGAGAGAGAGAGAGAGAGAGAGAGAGAGAGAGAGAGACGCAGATAGAGAGATAGAGACACAGGCGCCGCGCGACGACGACGTTGTGTCTGTTTCTACGCGCGACTTTCATTCAGCTGCGGGGAAAAGATGATTGGGAATGTAAACGAGGGGGTGGGGATAGGCGGAGGGGCACAAAAGAGAGGGAGGGAGAGAGAGAGAGAGAGAGGGAGAGAGGGAGAGAGGGAGAGAGAGAGAGTGAGAGGGAGAGAGAGAGGGAGAGAGAGAAACGACCCCATCAGAAGCAACTCGAGATGTAAAGTAGACGCGAGCTGCAGGCAGGCAGGCAGCGGGATGAAACGCATTCGCCCCAATGCCCCCCCCCCTTCCGGCTGCAGTCGGCAGTGCATTTGGCGGTTTGACGGCCGGGACGAGCATTTGAATGGCACTGGATCCGCATTCAGTCATGCCGGCCGCAAGCCCAGGCAGGGCCAGGCAGGGTGGCCGCGCTGTCCGCAGTCCCCCCCCCCCCCACCCCCCACCCCCCCACCCCCAACCCCAACCGCCACCCAGAGCCGCGCTCGTGCGGAAAACACTGCACTGAAAAAAGATAGAAATCGAAAATGCTCTGTGCAAAATCAAAAAACAAGTCTGTGGGCCATAAAAAAAATTGTGTGGAATCAAAAATTGTCGGTGGGAAATCATAAAGAGGTTTTGAGACTTCTGAGATAGTCTCTGAGACTTCAAAAATAGTCTCTGGGGCTTCAAAAATAGTCGCAAAGTATAGAGATTACGAGTGCTCAGAGGCTTTCATCTGACGGTGACCTGAGAAAATCTGCCACCGTGGAAATTGGTGTGCGCGCCGTTTCGCGAAATATCGGCCTCTGCCATTTTAATTACCACACTTTGGAGGTGGGCGAGGCGCGGCCGCAGGGAGGGAAAGGGGTGGGGGTGGGGCACACTGGATTTGCCAGAACACCGCTGGAGGCGGCCGAAATTCTAGACGCGTTTTGAGCTCCAGAGTCGTTAAATGGGACTCGAACCGAACGTGTGACCCCACCAATGGTTTGCTCTCCGAACGAGGAGTCCATTGGTGGGGGTCACACGTTCGGTTCGAGTCTTGTTTAGCGACTCCGCAGCTGAAAACGCGTCTAGAATTTTGGCCGCCCCCACCGGCCTTCTGGCCCACTGTGGGGCGCTAGAGAAGGGGGTGGGGTGATCCTGTTCGCGCGGCTGGCTGCCCCGTGATCTTCCAGACTTCTGGGAATGCTGACAAGACCTGTTTCCGGGCGGGGCACGCCGGCACGCCGCAAGGCGGCCAAGGCGGCCAAGGCGGTCGGGGCGCTGGCCGCCCCGAGCGTTCTTGCCAAATAAGCACTTGTTATGCATGCGTGAAATCTGGGATAATAATACTATTGTACACTCCGGAACCGCGCGGCTCTGGCTTTGTGTACGGGCCGGGCCGAGCCGAGCCGAGCCGAGCCTGACTATAGAGTCCGAAAGCCACGGCCACTGCCGCGGCCACTAGTCAGGGAGGGGAAAACACGGCGGAGTGGCAACCCTAAGCCCGGTCGCCAATAGTCGGCAACCCTATGCCCGGTCGCGAATTGTGGGTGAGCCATTTCGCGCGTGGAATTATCGAGTCCACCTCTTTCGGGTCAGGCGTAAACCGAGACCACTCCCTCCCGAAGGAAAAACAAAGCCTAGGTGGTGTTGCTACTTACACGCACGCACACACACACACACACACACACACACACACAGAGAGAGAGAGAGAGACACAGACACACACACAAAATAGACGAGTAGAGGTTTTTTTCTGCCATGTGATTGACAGGTCTAGAGCACAAGTCAAAAAATGGACTCTTTTAAAATTGACTCATTTAATTTTAAATTTTTAACTTAGGATCTTTTTCCGTTTCCGTAGCCGTGCCATTCTCCCTTCTCCCGACCCCTGCTCACAGCAGCCCTCTAATATCCAGGCCCCTTTGTCACTGTAGTGCACCTTCAGGGGCCTTCACCGGGCCGGATAAAGAATGGACATGTCTGGTGGTTCGAGGAGGGACTCCATTGGACCTCGGCGGCAGGGCACACACTGGGCGGGGTGACAGGGTGACAATGGCACAGGTGCAGAGTACCGGGGCGGGTCGGTCAAGGCTAGGGGGAGGGAAAGAGGAAAATTTAAGGCGTGACTTAATCTCTATCCGGACGAACAATCAACTGTTATCCAGTCCCATTCGCAATCGGCCTCACAGTGTCACCGCTCGGCAGGCATCCATCTTCGTGCCAGGCGTTCGTTACTGGACCGTCACAGCGACGTCTACTTTCGCACGGCACTGCGTCACACTTCTAAATTCATCCAAAAATTCAAAAAAAAATTTCAAACAAAAAATAAAATATTCCTAATTTTTTTGAAAAAGTCCAATTTTTTTTTTTAAATCCATTTTATTTGAAAATTAAAAATTTGAAAGTTTAGTTTGATTTTTGGGTTGAAAGTCCGACCCAGATAACCTTTAAACGGCACTCCTATCAACTAGCCCCTGGTCTAAATGAAGCAAAAATGGCGCAGAGAAACGAGGAAAAAATGTTTCTTGGCCGAGAGTTCCTTCCAGTGGAGGAGAACACGGCGAAAGTGGAAGGTGCACCGCAGCGGAGCGCGGTAAACCCAACTCGGACGGGAAAGCACTTGGCGCAACTAATTTTAAAGGTGGCCCGAGCACACTTCGACGCCCTCCTGGAGGCCTTCTTCGAGGCCCAGCTTTTTCGCATTAAGAAATCATTGCTCCACGGTCTGGCACTCGGCTTGGCGCATGGCTCATTTTTCAGGGCCTGCAGAGCTGTCGCAGCGCTGGCGTGGCGCACAGTGGGCCAGAAGACCGGTGGAGGCGTTCGAAATCCACCGGACGCGCTTTGAGCTCCAGAGTCGCTAAATGGGACTGGAACCGAACGAGTGACCCCACCAATGGCTTCCTCGTTCGGAGAGCAATCCATTGGTGGGGTCACTCGTTCGGTTCCAGCCCTATTTAGCGCATCTGGAGCTCAAAACGCGTCGAGAGTTTTGGCCGCCTGCGCCGGTCTCCTGGCCCACTGTGTAAGTAGCGCAAGCGAGGTAAATTGGTGCGCGCGTAAATTTCAGGTGGAGAGCGCGGACAGTCTTGGCGGGGGTTGGGGGGCGGGGCGGCTGCAGACGCCGCGGACGCGACAAGGACTGATGACTCTCCCAAACATCCCGCCCCCGGCCCCGCCCCCCGGGCATCGGACCCATATGGGGCTACCAGTGCGCAGGAGAGTCGGGACAGTCACGTCTGAAACCTCTCTGTCTAGCGGGCTGGCTGTTTCGGCCCCGCCGCCCCGTGCGTCCCAGCCAGTCCCAGGCATGGCTGGCCTGCCCGGCCAAGTGACTGGTGGGCCCCACTATCCCTCAGTGGCGCCCGGAGGGACGCTGCCGGGGCGAGGTACTCCACCAGCGCTTCGCTACCAGCGCGGAGGGCGAAAGGTGAGTAAGGAGAGGACACGTCGAGTACGACGAAGATGGAACATCGTGAAGGGACAATGGAGAGGGCAGATTCGAAATCCCGCCCGAGACGTCGTGCACCCGGAGCTGGGCCCCGCCCAAGACCCAGCCCGGCCATGGGCCCGGCCATGGGCCCGGCCAAACGCGTCTGGAAGTTTAAGTCCCCGGATCGCCTCCCTACCTGCAACCGTGCAGCGCAGCGCCGGGTACCCCCAGCAGCCCCGCCTACCCTCAACACACACAGACACGCGTCTACCCCGGACCCCGGCAGTCAACAGCAGCCCCTCCCCCGGGCCAGCCTGCAGCAGAGAGAGAGAGAGAGAGAGAGAGAGAGAGAGAGAGAGAGAGAGAGAGAGAGAGAGAGAGAGAGAGAGAGAGAGAGAGAGAGAGAGAGAGAGAGAGAGAGAACCTCTCGAAGAGCGGAGAGTCGCTAGTTTGTAATCCAGGAACTAAGCGCGCGGTGCCTCCGTCTGGGACTGGGGACCTCCGGGGATTACCAAGTTAAGATTCCGATGCTAACATTGTACGCGCCGCGTCGTACGGGCAAGGCTCCGACACGGGCGTCTCTCTCTCTCTCTCTCTCTCTCTCTCTCTCTCTCTCTCTCTCTCCCCCTCTAAAAGAAATTTCAGAGTGAGGCCGATTTCTGTTCCGGCCGCGCAGCAGGCCGTGATGACAACACGGTCGTTTGAGTCGGCAAACTGGCGATCTGCGACGCGACGCGACGCGGCCAGCCACTACACCACTAAAACCGGCCCGGCAGTTTATACGATCTTCGCGTCCGCGGGCCGCGAGTTGCCGGTCTCATATAAACTCCGCGCGCAGCATCTCGCGCAGACCGGAACCGAGAAAACATGTAAAAAAGTCGGGAGTCAATCTGAGGACACTGCATCGAAAACTTTTTATGTAGTTTTCGTCACACGACAGATAAGTTTGTACGTTTTTGGAGAAAAGGAGAAAATTATTGGTTCCCAGTAAATATTTTTTTCAAATAAACAAAATAAAAATAAACTTAAAATTTGTTTGAAAAACAAGTTAAAAAAATATATATAAAAATGGTAGTAGTAAAAATACCTAGCAACTAGCTTGTATCAACAATGTTAGTGGCCGCCACACTGAAAATTTGAGTCGTCACTTGATGACAATTTCAAGGCTAATTTTCCTTATAACGATGTCATCAAAACAATTGATGACATTGATGTCACTCCCATAGGAGCTTTGATAAAAATGTCACCAATTTGTGACGAGATTGTCAATCATTTGAACATGATATCATCCACGTTTTTGTCATAAAATGACAACAAATTTTCACAGTGCAGGAGCACGGCAAGCTGCTTACCTGGTAGTTGCGGATGTGGCCCTTGGGGCACTCGTCGCTGCACACGGACACGGGCGGCCGGTTCATGGTGCCGGGGTAGTACCGCGACCACATCGTCTTTCCCTTGTCGAAGTCCAGGCTGCGGGGCAGACATTGCGCCATTAGCACACACATCTTGTTTCCATAGTTAACGACATCGTGCGGATTTGCAGTGGCGCGGAAGGAAGGAGAGGGGGGAATCCAAAGATAAGGCACAGGGGTGCAGACGCCCCCCCCCCTCCCCCTTTCCCATCCTAACACGAGCACCCCGTTGTTATGCACCCCGCATCTCCATATCTCAGCCCTCCTTGCTCCTTTACAGAGGGGGCGGAACCAGCGAGCGAGGGGAAAGGGGGGGAGGGGCGTGAATTAGCTGCCACTCGACAGGAGCGCCTAAGAATTATACCGGGAGGGAGAGAGACATTGCGGCAAACGCCGCGAAAGAAGCGCTACACACACACACACACACACACACACACACACACACCACACACACACACGCACACACGCACACACGCACACACTCACACACATGTACACACAGACACAGACAGAAGTTATTCTCGGATATTATTTCCAACTTCGGCAGACACAAAGGCACACCTGTTTACTCATAATTAATTAGCTCCTGGGCCTCGCTGTGTGGCGATATCAAACATTCAGTGGGGAAACGCGGCACGACGCTGCGACAACTCGGTCAACTAGTCGGCGGGTTCGTACGGCACGGCATGCCACGCCACGCCACGGCACGGCGCGCCACGGTCGCAGGTCAATTCCAATTTGGACGTCGTGGAGTCCCCGCGGACCCGGCTCCGGCAAGCCCGGCCCCGAAACAAGGAGTACCGGACCGAAGCGCAGCGGGACGCCTGGAAAACGTCAAACTCGTCTCTCTCTCTCTCTCTCTCTCTCTCTCTCTCTCTCTGTGTGTGTTTGTTTGTGTGTGTGTGTGTGTGTGTGTGTGTGTGTGTGTGTGTGTCGTTGTGCTTTTCACAGACCCAACACGTCGTACGACCGAAAATCAGCCGTGTACGGCCGTAAACCCACCGTACGACCGAAAACCAGACGTACGACCGAAAACCAGTCATACGACCGAAAACCAGTCGCTCGACCGAAAACCAAGCTCCGTTGTTCAACGAAAAAAGACAAGGTTTGCCACTATGGCCCACTGTAGGATCGCCAGTCGTCGACAGTTTCCCTGACGTTTTTACGCCACGTCGGTGGAAGTCCTGACGCAGCAGCAGGGAAGGCCGCATTAAAAATGGGTGCTTCTGCCCGGACGCAGCAACAGCCGAAGCCGCGACAGCGGCGCCAGCGACGGAGATAGTGGACAAGAACGACAAGGCAGTCAGTTACACTTTGGGAACAAAGGGATACAAGGGGGAGAGAGCGAGAGAGACGGCGGCACGGCGGGGCGGGAGGGTCCGGCTGAGGGACAAGGACGGTTGTTTGCCCCGCTGCTGCATATTTACGCGCCCGTTGATTCCTCGGCCGAAACTTTGCGCAGTGGGACCGACGGCACCGCGGGGAGAGGGGAGAGAGAGAGAGAGAGAGAGAGAGAGAGAGAGAGAGAGAGAGAGAGAGAGAGAGAGAGAGAGAGAGAGAGAGAGAGAGAGAGAGAGAGAGAGAGAGAGAGAGAGAGAGAGACGTCAGAATGGCGTCGTGATCGGCGCGCACTCCGCGGACAAATATTGAACTACGCACAATCAACATTTTGCGAGGCTCGCGACGAACCGGCACCAATTCCAGGCACTTTGACAGCACTGGTGAACCGAAATGGGGCTCGAGCGAGAAACCCAGTGCTGGAAATCGGATCTCGAAGCGCCAGCCAGTGAGGCCGTCCCTCCAAGGTGGAGGCGGCCGAAACTCCAGACGCGTTTTGAGCTCCAGAGTCGCTAAATGGGACTCGGACCGAACGTGTGACCCCACTAATGGATTACCCCCGGACGAGGAATCCATTGGTGGGGTCACACGCTCGCTTCGAGTCGTGCTCAGCGACTCTGGAGCTCAAAACGCGTCTGGAGTTTCGTCCGCCTCCACCGGTCTTCTGGCACACTAGGAGACGGCCATTTTTCGGCGGCAGAAGCGCCGTGCCGACGTTCCGCCCTGACGTCTCGTCTCGTCTGCAGTGGACCAGCAGCTATAAATCCGGGGCCCTTGATGGCCACGGCAAAGGCCCGGGGCATGGCTGGCCGGCATGGCATGCAGAGCACCGAGGCCTGCGCGACCTGGCTAAGAGCGGTCTCAGGCCTCTCAGGGTGCCATAAGGCCGCGCCGTAAGGCCGCGCCGTGAGGCTGAGTGCGTGGAGGACAAGCAGGCCGGGCAGGGCAGGGCAGGGCCCGACCCGGGCAAGCCCTTTTAAGGCAAACATATTCCATGTCTCAGTCCTGCCACGTCCCTAGAGCCACGCCCCGGCGCCCTCGTCGCAGGGATACAGAGTTAGGGCCTTCGTCAGGGAGGGTGAACCAGCCAGGCGAGGGGCTCGCTCTCACCTTGCGCCCCGCCCCGCCCCGCCCCGCCCCGCCCTCCCGTACAAAAATAAATGCCTCTAGAGTGTCTCGAGCCGAGACACTCTAGAGACGTTCTGGAGACGATGTGGAGACGGTCTGGAGACACTGAGGAGGCAAAATCGGAGACACTGTCGAGACGCTTTGGAGACACCGCCGAGACACTGTGGAGACGTCGGGAGTTTCTCGACACTGTCTCTATTCTGTCTCGAAAAGGAGACACTCTGGAGACGTTCTGGAGACACTTTAGGGAGACGATCTAGAGACAGTGCGGAGACACTGTCGAGACGCGCGGCGGGAGCGCCGGCCGCCTCCCCCCTCCTCCCACGAGACGGCGTGGAGACGCTTTGGAGACGTTCTAGAGACACAACTGGCTCCCCTCCAAACAAAAACTGAAGCCGGCGCCGCACTGGGCGGATTCGACCCACAGACTGCCAGCATCACAACACGGATGGCTGACGTCGGAGCGCACTCGGCCAAAGTGACGCTCCTTAGAGGAGGTCTGCCGACGCGCATACACATGGTTCGGACCAGCGGCAACACTCTGCGCGGCCACCGCTGTCGTTTTACTTAAAACATCTTGGTTGTCAGCACTATGTTCGTTTCTCTGTTTGAATACCCCGTTTTCTGAACGTTCCTTTATTCAAATGCACTGAAAGTAATTACTAATGAATAACACTGCATGAACTTCTCGTGACAGCGGTCGCCGCGTGGAGTGTAGAGTATTGCCGCTGCACGGAACCATGTGTCGGCGCGCCGGCAGACCTCCTCTAAGGTGCGTCACTTTGGCCGAGTGCGCTCCGACGTCAGTCAACCGTGTTGTGATGCTGGCAATCTGTGGGTCGAATCCGCCCAGTGCGGCGCCGGCTTCAGTTTTTGTTTGGAGGGGAGCCAGTTGTGTCTCTAGAACGTCTCCAACGCGTCTCCACGCCGTCTCGTGGGAGGAGGGGGGAGGCGGCCGGCGCTCCCGCCGCGTGTCTCTACAGTGTCTCCGCACTGTCTCTAGATCGTCTCCCTAAAGTGTCTCCAGAACGTCTCCAGAGTGTCTCCTTTTCGAGACAGAATAGAGACAGTGTCGAGAAACTCCCGACGTCTCCACAGTGTCTCGGCGGTGTCTCCAAAGCGTCTCGACAGTGTCTCCGATTTTGCCTCCTCAGTGTCTCCAGACCGTCTCCACATCGTCTCCAGAACGTCTCTAGAGTGTCTCGGCTCGAGACACTCTAGAGGCATTTATTTTTGTACGGGTAGCGACTCTGGAGCTCAAAACGCGTCTGGAGTTTCGGCCGCCTCCACCGGTCTTCTGGTCCACTGTGCGGCGATTCTCCGCGGCCGAGTGACTCCATCGCTTGTTGTTTTTTTAAGGGATCATCTTCGCGTGGGGTAGCGACGGGCCTTCTGTTCGCACAAAGGGAGGCGTGATGCTCGTTCTGACCACTCCACCAGCAGTCTCATTAAGGCAGTGGCACTTTCCTTGGAGGTATCACAAGGCTGCTGGAACATGAGACCTCTCACTGGCCCCACGAGCCTGCGGCCTGCCCGCGGGCAATGGGATTAAAGTTGCCTAAGCAGAACTCCGCCCACCTTACCCCCCCCCCCTATCTCGGAACAGTCATTACGCACTAAGTCAAGTCGGAGCGAGGCATGACGTTGACGCACGTTAGCCAACGGCCCTGCACGCTCTAAAAATCTTTTTTTTTTAATAGGGTCAAGCTGGCAAGAAAAAAAATGAACAGGTTTTTTTGTCAGTTTTGCTATGCCTTGATATGATTTTGATTTGAAAATTAAGCCCTTTGTTTTTAATGACCCTTTTGAAATTGCCTTTCTTTTTTGGGAGAGTGCACGGGAAGCGGTGGTCAGGTCCTGTCAGGTCCCCAATCTGGGACGCTGGCCGTCGCTGCGTTTGACATTTACTGCCGCGAGGCAGAGCCATGCCAGCCCCGCTTGCATGCGCTAGCAGCAGTGCTAGGACGTACGTGTCTACTGCACATGCAAGTTAGTTTTTTTTCGCACCTGAGAATAGAGTGAGGCCGCTTCTTGTTTTGATACTCGTTGGGATCCCTACCGAAAACCAAGTTTCAAAGACAGTGTTTTAGAAATGCCAGTCTACTTCCGATTGGGACTCACGTGCCAAACCTCGAATTTTCCATCGATTTCAAGCAGCACCAATCGATGACAGCGCCACTCACCTCTTCTCCCAGGACCCGACCCGGTTGTAGTCGAATTTGGATCCGTTCCTCTGGTACTGGTAGATGTGATAGCTGCCGTACGCGTCGCCGTCCTTGTTGAAGCGGATCTCGGTGCCCTGCCGGCCTGCAACACCGAGAACGAACAATAAATCGATTTATTTGACACAAATCAGTGCAAAGATCAGCTTTATTCCTGCCTCTCCCGTCCATAAAAAGATATGTGTTCTTTTAGTATACCCAGGATTCAGCCCGCCCGATATTCAATTTGTGTGGCCCTTTATGCATTTCGGAAATTTTCTATACGATTTTTTGTATTGTCTATTTTTCCCAGTGTGGTGTTTTTGCAACAGAGTGGGTCACGAGGCGAGACACTCCGCCGCGAGACGGTCCACCGTTCGCATGCTCTTCGCGGTCACCATAAAAGATGGAGCCGCGTCCCTCAAGCCGGGCGGCACACTGGAGGCACACTGGCAGGGGCTGCAACACCGGCCTGGCCCTGCGCAGTGGGCAAGAAGACCGGAGGAAGCGGCCAAAACTCTAGACGCGCTTTGAGCTCCAGAGTCGCCAACCGACTAGAATCGTACGTGTGACCCCACCAATCGCTTCCTCGTTCGGAGAGCAATCCATTGGTGGGGTCACACGTTCGGTTCGAGTCCAATTTAGCGACCCTGGAGCTCAAAACGCGTCAAGAGTTTTGGCCGCCTCCACCGGTCTTCTGGCCCACTGTGCCCTGGGCACAGCAGGGGTATCTGCAAGTGAAACTTTCACGTGTAAGCCCTGTAACCCCAGCAGCCGGCTCAGCACGCTACGGCCATGGTCAGGGAGGGCGGAGGGCACGCCGCCCGGGGCCAGACTACGTTTTGTCGGAATAAAACGACAGGCCGGGGCTTGTTTCCCGCTGTGTATCCGAGGCCCGGGCATGCTGACGTGATAGTCATGCGCGGGGAACCGGCCTGGACTGGGCCGGCTGGGACTAGGCCTGGCTGGGCTGCGCCGGGTTGGCCCGCCTGGCCCGCCTGGGCCCCGGGGCGTAAAGGCAGCACCAGGACCCGGCATAAAACGGGGATGATCGTTCACTGCGGTGCCCCCCAAGGCCCCATCCCAGCTTGTCTCAGACGCCCTCTCTCTATCTCTCTCTCTCTCTCTCTCTCTCTCTCTGCCGGTCCCTTAGGGTCCTCACACGCCTGGCCACGCCTCGCCACGCCTAGCGGTGCCGCAGCGCCCGACCATCATCACCTTTAAATTATTAAAAGCGAACTTTACGGAGGACGGCCCCGCCCCCCCCCGCCCCGCCCCGCCCCGCCCCGGGCGACAGGGGAGCGCCGCCCCTCCACCTGGCGCCCCTGGAGACACACTCATTACGTCGGCAGTGACTCATTCGGTGTGAACCACGGAGATTCCATCTCACGCGCCAAACAAAAACAACCAAAAAAACAACAATAACAAACAAAAACACTCGCCGCGGCGCTGCTGGCGCGGAACGCTTATCGGGTGCCGGAGATAGCGTCGAGGCGGAGAAAAGTCCCGACAAAAGATTAACAAAGCAAAAAAAGGACATTTTTTTTAAAAATCAAGCCTTTAACAAATTCAAAATTTTTTTTGCTTGAGACGTTTGTCCTGACATTCAAGACGGCCTAAGTAACTTTCCTTGCTCGACCTTTACAGCCCCGATCGTACCCGAGCATGCCCAAAGGACCGCAACCAAAAAGAAGACCCGGCCCTGTTTCGCTATTGCACGCACGGGGTCGGGCGCGAAATTCCGCCGAGGTGTTGGCCCACCTGCCGGCCTCCGGGCGGGCCCCTCGCAGTGTGCTAGCAGGCTGGAGCCTCCAGGCTGGAAGGCCGTGCTTCTGGAAGGCCCAGACTCCATTCCGGAAAATCGAAACCGCCAGCCGCCGCCGTCCCACTGGCGCTCATCTTCTGGCGACGATTCCAGCATGGACCGCCTGTTTATGGCTCCCCCCCCTCTCTCTCTCTCTCTCTCTCTCTCTCTCTCCCTCTCTCTCTCTCCCACGCGGGCACGCATACAGGCCGCCGTGGGAGATGACATCCTTAGCGGGGCCAGCCCTGCGTCTAGCCCTGCGGCCTTCCGGTGCTCCTCCGGGACCCACTGCACCGGGGCGCTGGAGCACTCCGGGAGTCTGCTGCAGTGCGCCAGCTCACAGTGGGCCAGACAACCGGTGGAGGTGGCCAAAATTCTTGACGCGTTTTGAGCTCCAGAGTCGCTAAATGGGACTCCAACCGAACGTGTGACCCCACCAACGGATTGCTCTCCGAACGAGGAATCCATTGATGGGGTCACATGTTCGGTTCGAGTCCTGTGTAGCGACTCTGGAGCTCAAAACGCGTCTGGCGTTTCAGCTGCCTCCACCGGTCTTCTGGCCCACTGTGCGACGCCGCGGCGGTGGTACCGGTACCCGCCACAGGAAATTGCGAGCCGATCCGCCGCGCGCTCAGCGGCGACAAATTTCATCGCACGGCGCGCTCAATTTTCCATCGCAGTCGTTTATTGCGCATAAAGAGAGAGAGAGAGAGCGAGAGAGAGAGAGAGAGAGAGAGAGAGAGAGAGATAGAGGGAGAGAGACCCTTCCGGGTAGGCCGTCCGTGCACGCGGCTGCCTGGCGGGCTTGCCTACCCCGGCCGTTGCAGGCGCTCTACCGGCTCCACCGCCCAACAAGAGAGCACGCGCACGCACGCACCTTGAACGCCTCGCAGCAATTTATCAGTGCGGCGAAGAGATGGATTCTTCACCGGGCGCCTTCACCACACCCCACACGGCAAAAGTACCGCCTGGGATTCCCAGGCGCATCATGGGAAAAAGTGCCTATTTTCCAGGCACCGCCTGGGAATCCCAGGCGGTACTTTTGCCGTGCACGCACTGGACTGAGAGAGCGTTAAAATGAAAGAGACACGTGGTTTTTAAGAGTGTGTGCACTTTCCGTTTCTGGCATTGGTTTCTTTTCTTTTAAACGAGTGGACGGCAACGCGTCCACTTGAATAAGGAAAGCACGAGTCCTCGACATCGAGAAACCGCAAGACGAGTCTCGATATTCCGAATCGGTCTCGATGTCTCCAGGGCACTCGGAAAAAAACCGAACAAAACAACAGAGATGCTGACAATCGCACGAGAGCTTCCAATGCTCGTTATTTTGCGGTTCATCTGTCGCACTCTTCTGGCTTTCCTCTTGGCAAACGCGGTGCACAGTGGCCCAGAAGACCGGTGCGGGCGGTAGAAAACCCGGACGCATTTGGAGTCTAGAGTCGCTAAATGGAACTCAAACCACACGTGTGACCCCACCAATAGATTGCTCTCCGAACGAGGAATCCACTGGTGGGGTCACTCGTTCGCTTCGAGTCCCATTTAGTGACTCTGGAGCTCGAAACGCGTCTGGAGTTTCGGCCGCCTGCACCGGTCCTCTGGCCCACTGTGCGTTGACGGGGTTTTAGTCGTGTTGCCGTTGCCGCGCGCTGTGGCTGTTACGGACCCAACTACAAACAACAGCGCGGCCTGGCTGGCTGCCTGCCATGTGTACCTGCCCGGAGCCCTCCCCGCACAGTGGGCCAGAAGACCGGTGGAGGCGGCCAAAACTCTAGACGCGTTTTGAGCAGAGTCGCTGAACAGGACTCGAACCGAACGTGCGACCCCACCAACGGAATGCTCTCCTAACGAAGTATCCATTGGTGGGGTCACACGCTCGGTTCGAGTCCTGTTTAGCGACTCTGGAGCTCAAAACGCGTCTGGAGTTTTGGCCGCCTTCGCCGGTCTTCTGGCCCACTGTGCCCCGTGCCTCCAGCGTGCCTCCAGCTTCCCGCCGTTCATCTTAAGACAGGTGCGGCTCTGTGGATTAGCGCAGGACCGCAACGAGGACCACACTACACGCCGAGCCGGCAGTGCACTGCCATGGTACAGGCCCCGCTCGGCCCCGTGCCAGCACCGTATGGAAATACCGGATTAGACAAACTTCGCCCGGCCCGCCAGCCTGGCTATGGGCCTGGCTTGTCCTGGCCCGGCGTTCGGGCAGGCACCTTCAGGCCTTCTGGGCCACTGCACACACTTGCATCCCGCGTGCGAGCAGCGCGAGCGTCTGACGTGTTGTTACTTTTTCACCGGAGTGGAACTGACATGACGGGAGATGCGAGCCGCTGCCGCGGGACGGAACGCAGCACACGGGAAAGACGAGCATCTCGGAAATATTTCAATGCAATAGCACAAGAATCGGGGCCACTGTGTTATGCATGAACCCCTCACTGCACACAGCATCGCACATTGGGCCAGAAGACACGGCGCAGGCGGCCAAAACTCTAGACGTGTTTTGAGCTCCAGAGTCGCTAAACAGCACTGTTAAAAAAAAAGTCGAAATTTTCAGACTTTTTAGGATGAAGTCAATTTTGAAACCCAGTGGTCTGAATTTTCAGACCCCCGGACACTCTGAATTTTTGGACCACCTATCGTCTGAATTTTCAGACTCGCAAGTACTTAGAATTTTACGACTACTAGGTAGTCTGAATTTTCGGACTAATGGCAGTCTGAATTTTTCACCTCGCGGGTTTGAATTCTAAGCCGCCCAGGTAATAAAATTACCACTTTTGTCAGGATGTATATTAGGTTTTGGGGATGCATGTTTTAAATTGCTGAGAAACATGGAATGCATGCACTAAATAGAGCAGTTGTAAAACAGCTCTTGTTGTTAAATGTAGCACCCAAAGTTGCGCAAGACTTTAACTAGATATGATATTTTGCTGAGAGAGCTTCCCAAAAAAAAAAAAACTAGTCCTCGAATGTAAGACTCCAGAAGATGCAGCTGTAAACACTGGAAAGCAGCATGTTGGATCCAGATGCACACTTTGTGGAAACTTTTTCGGCACGATGAAAATACTTTGGGGACGAGGATGAAAGAGGAGTGACAAATTTCCAAAACGCCACCCACTCGCTCATCACCCGTCCCTTTAGTTTGGAAGACGCAATATCAGTATAAGGCTACGCCACTTTCACAGCCTGCTTGCCGCGGATTTCGGATGCTTCAGAGTGGTGACTGCACGCACCCATAAGCAATTTTGGAGCACGGAAAGGCGAAGGCAAAACGGCACTGTACACACTGTGCTGAGCGCCGATGTAACACATAAAACTTTGCTTCACGACGGAGCGTCACAAGAAAGATGACACGCGACGCGGACTTGTATTCGGATGCGATGTGCACTGCTCTGGAGACAAGCTAAAACTGACGCATTCTGTCCAGAAATCCCGAGTGGCCGAGGGATTAAGGGCCCCCTCCTCTCCCCCCGCCCCGCGCAGGTAGGCTTCGGCCGGCACGCCGGTCAGCGGTGATTTTCCGAACGCCCCGGCTCGGCTCGGTGTGCCTGGCTCGGCTGGCCGCCGCCGGAGCGGCTCGGCTCGGGTGGCCCGGGCTTCGGTCCAGGCCGGAACCAGGGCAAACATGTCGCATCCTGCAGCTACCAGCGGAGTGCAGGCTGATTTTAAACTCAACACTAGACGGCCGTTCGCTTAGCTGAGCAAAAGTCTATTTACTACTGCTCTAGCAATTCAGGGTCCATAGCACCTGAAACGCAGTCATGCCTTTTATCAGAAAATACGTAAAGCATCAATTTCAGACTGCGCAGGATGAAAATTCAGACCTTTTACTACAAATGACTGTTTTAAGACCCCGACGCCGAAAATTTATACCGCGCCATCCAAATATTCAGACTCTTGAGTCCGAAACTCATTTTTCAGACCACAAGGTGTAAAATTAAGACCAACTGTCTGAAAATTCTGACTCAAGTCTGAATTTCAGATTCAGACCACTAGGTCTGAAAAAATTGGTCTGAATTTTCAGACTTTTTTTAACAGTGAGGTCTCGACCCCACCAATGGATTCCTCGTTCGGAGAGCAGTCCATTTGTGGGGTCACACGTTCGGTTCGAGTCCCATTTAGCGACTCTGGAGGTGAAGACGCGTCTAGAGTTTTAGCCGCCTGCGCCGGTCTTCTGGTCCACTGCGCCGCGCAGTTGCACACACGAGACGTGCTATTCTCCGAAAACGGGACTCGAACGAGACACGCGAGAGCACCCTACGGATTTGCACTGGAAGCCTTTCCTGACATGTGTTTCCTCGAAGTCCCAGCGGGCCACTGTCGTGCAGCGTCTTTACAAGCGAAAACTCCTGCGATGCCGTCGCAAGGGCTGCCAACCTCGGGCTGCCAACCTCCGGCTGCCAAACTCGGGGGCTGCCAACCTCCGGCTGCCAACCTCGGGCTGCCTCACAGGCGATATCTCGCTTGGCTATCGACGTTGCCCAGTAGACAGGCTGGGGTTGGCAACCCTTTCGACACCATCGTGGGGATTTTCGCCCACTTATGTGGCAACACTGCCCTGCTTCCCACCCCAGTTCATCGACTCCATTTGCGTATTCAGTGGCACCGCTGCCCACCCTCTTCACCCACACACTAAAAACACAGACGAGCGCGCACACATTTACTTACACACACTGCTCCCCCGGGGCGTGCCGCGCAGTGCCGGACGTCCGCAGCGGGTCACGGCAGGTCAGGCTGGACAAGGGGCGGCGGTTCTTGCGTTAGGCCCCGTAACACCTGGCCTTGTACCCCTCCCCTCCTCCTCCTTCTCCTTTCTCCCTTTGCTGGGTGTGTAACAGTCCCCCAGTGGATGTACAACGGTCACCCCCAGGAAAGGCCAGGTTAGCCGCCAAATTCTGTGACCTCCTCATTTTTCCCGGAGAAGTCCTAAATTTCCATTGTTTGGCGGCAGATTTTTCTGGCAGTGTGGCTCGCAAAGGCGCCGGCAGCGCAAACAGCGCAGGCAAAACATAACACGGCGGACAAGGAGAGCCGCTGCGTTTGGAGACACAATAATTACCCTGGCCGAGTGCTGGCGTGGCGCGGCGTGGCGCGGCACGCTCGGACAGCGCCACGCCACGCCACGCCACGCCGCGCCTGTCGCCTACAGTGCCCCGCCTCCACAAAGGGCTGAAAGGTGAAACTGCACGTGGGAGCAGGCACTGCGGGAGGGCGAGTCTTTGGACTAGAAGGAAACCCCGGCGAGCAAGGCACTGCACGCACAGTGAGCCAGAAGACCGGCGGAGGCGGACAAAACTCTAGACGCGTTTTGAGCTCCAGAGTGGCTAAATGGGACTCGAACCGAACGTGTGACCCCACCAATGGATTGCCCTCCGAACGAGGAAACACATATTTTTGTTAAGACAGAATGCTGGCCGATTCGACGGTAAGAGTCGAGAAGCTCTCCAAACTGCTACACCGCGCTGCTTTCCCCGGCGGCCGCTCCATAAACCTCAAGGTGCTTTACGCGCAGCTGAGTGGTAACTGCTTGCCGAGTGGCCGGAACTACTCGGAACTACCGGCAGCCACGCGCATCTTGGCCTCACGTTTACGGCTCGGCTGGCTTTTTCCAGGCGGCTGCCCTGGAGGGCCTGGAGGGCGGGCTGAGAGTGCACAGTGGGCCAGAAGACCGGTGGAGGCGGCCAAAACTCCAGACGCGTTTTGAGCTCCAGAGTCGCTAACGGGCCTCGAACCGAACGTGTGACCCCACCAATGGATTGCTCTCCGAACGAGAGGAATTCATTGGTGGGGTCACACGCTCGGCTCGAAACCCATTTAGCGACTCTGGAGCTCAAAACGCGTCTAGAGTTTTGGCCGCCTCCACCGGTCTTCTGGCCCACTGTGGAGTGCTCCACCGAGATTCCGCTGAGATGCAGTCCAGAATTTGCGTGGCCGACTGCGGTGAGCTTCAGGCGGGTCCTCATCCTGCTTTACTGCTGTCGTAAAGGACGGACCAAAGAAGTTAACCTTAATTTGTCGAAGCAAGCCACGTGGACCAGAGGCACCCAGTGCAGTGGTCAGGGGTCGTCAAAGCACACTTTATTTGGGCCATCTGCTGCTCAAAATGACCCCAAGTGGCGGCCGGCTCCATGGAATGAGGCTTTTCGGGGACGATCCAATCTTTGGCGACAGTTACCACCACCCACACTGTGAAACGATTTGATGGACGTGTCACGTGGTGACCATTTCGAGGCCAGTTGATGACAATCCCATGCCGTCAGTATGGGAGCCTCTAAAACAATGTCATTCGCCATTGTCAAGTAATGAAAATGTCAATCATCAACTGGCCAGTGTCAAACAGGTAAACTTTACTCCGTCCAGACGTGAAATTAAATTAAAAGAGGAAACCTTTAGTTACCATAATCCAACATAAATCTTGAACTAACAATCACGTTCATTTCTTGAGTTAATTGACTTCCCACTTCAGTAACCCACTTGCAGGAATTTCGTCTTCCGTCGAGGCTTTCGACAACCCACCCCACCTTCCGTTTATTTTTTTCATTGTTCCGCGAAAACACCTTATGAATAATAACACCCGCGGCATCTCCCCTTTGATTCTCGCTGTTACTTTCCGCTCGTGAAACTCACGCCGGAACTTTGCGGCGTTTGTTTAGAGCAGGCTGCTCCAGTTTGAGGCCGGGCCGGGCCGGGCGGGGTGCGGCATAGCTCGGCCGGCTCCAACTTGAGAAGTTTGGTAATGCTAAGGTGCGACGGGAGACTGTAAACCACGTGTCGCGCGCACAGCCAACACACTTTTCATCAGACTGCCATTATGAACTTTATTTTAAGCGGCTTCTCGCCGCAAGACACCCTCGCCTTGCCTCGTCCTTGGCACCACAGCTTCATTAAGGACGTCAACAGAAATTGGGAAGGGGTTACTAATCGCCGCGCCTGACGCCGAAGCGACTAAATTAAAAACTCCAACAAAACAGGGCGTGTCCGCCAAAATGGCTCTCGTGACAGAATCAGGTCAGACAAAGAAGTCGATTCGGCGGGGCGTGGGCAGTTGGCAGGCCTACGCCTGCCCAGCTGGCGGGGCTCCAACATGCAGCCTGCGTTCGCCGCGTTCGCTTGGTTGCACTGCACACCTGCCCACAGTGGGCCAGAAGACCGGTGGAGGCGGACAAAATCCCGGACGCGTTTTGAGCTCCAAAGTCGCTAAATGGGACTCGAACCGAGCGTGTGACCCCACCAATGGATTCCTCCTTCAGAGAGCAATCCATTGGTGGGGTCACACGTTCGGTTCGAGCCCCATTTAGCGACTCTGGAGCTCAAAACGCGTCTGGGGTTTTGGCCGCCTCCACCGGTCTTCTGGCCTACTATGCTGCCGTGGACTACCCAGCCGACAAGACAACGGCAGTTTTCATCCCTTATTTGGCTGCAATGTCTACGCAATATTCAAACCGCCCGAGTTTGCGAACGGACTGGTATTTACGAGTCTGCGAGAGATTGCACGGCTTGCCCGGCAAGTAACAAGTACCGGCCGGCGAGGCGCGATGCCGGCGCCGCTCCGGAGATCCGGTATTTTGGTCCCGGCTTCGCCGAGGGCCTCGCGACACTTCCCGAGTAGCCGCTCCGTCTTCCGACGTTCATTTCCGCCCGGCCCCGGGGGTCATTGGGCTATACTTGGCCGGAAACAGGGCGGCCAACTCCGGGCTGCTTCCGGCCCTCAAAGAAAGGTAAGCTCTGGAAGAACGCCCGGAACGCCCCGGAACGCCCCGGAACGCCCCGCGGCAATCACTGTCCGCAAAGTTTCCCCGGTGTGGCGGCAGCTCCGCTGGCTCCGCTGGCTCCGCTGACGAAGCGTCCGACACCCCGGGGACGTCCATCAAGCGGCAGAGAGCCTTTGTCCCTTTGGCCGAGTCACGACCTCATTTAGGGACCGCCCTCGTGTCCTCGTGCCGCTGGAAAGGATAATAGGTGAGGCTGGCGCTGTTTCGAGGTCGAGGACACTTGGACTCCGGTTGCACTCGCTGCGCTCGCTTACAGCGTGGGATTGAAATTGGAACGGGAACGCTAGGGGCACTCGTGTCGCTCAGCGAACATTCACTAGGGTCACAGCCTTGACGCCGAGACCTGGCCCGCCACACATGCATGGAATAAGTTGTTGCGTTACCTCTGAAGGTCAGGTTGCGGATGTACTCCAGCAGCTCGGAGCCCGGCGGCGCGGGTTTGACGCGGTCGCAGAGTCGGAACGGCGCGCCGCACTTGTCGATCACCAGCTCGTGCACCGCCCGGGCCATGGCGTACACCGCGTCCACTGCAACACAGCAAGCAGTCACACAGTGAGCCAGAAGACCGGTGGAGGCGGTCCAAATCCTGGGCGCGTTTTGAGCTTCACAGTCGCTAAATGAGACTCGAACTGACCGTGTGACCCCACCGATGGATTCCTCGTCCAGAGAGCAATCCGTTGGTGGGGTCACACGCTTGGTTCGAGACATGTGTGGCTACTCTGGAACTAAAAAATGCGTCGTTTTTGCCGCTTGCGCCGGTTTTCTGGCCAACATAAACAAAGTAACATGCTCTCCAGCAGTTGAGGTGAACGATGCTAAACAGTGGCGGCGTCGGTACAGCGCTGAGTCGTTGTTGTTGTTGTCGTCGTCACGTGTAATAGGGCTGTGTGACCACCCAGGTGTCATGAGGAGAATGATGGATGGAGCGGAGACAAGGGAGCGCTGCCATCACTCACAGCGCCGCAGCCAGCCTCACTCTACATTCTGGCCCTTCTTCCAAAATAACAATCCGATGCTAGTGCGAAGGCAGTGTAACAACTCTGTGGGAGACATTGCTTGTCATCGCAACAGCGAGAAGACAGTCGTCGAAGGAAAGTCCTGTCCTTTCTCTCCGCCCCGGGAGCGGTCGGCAAAGTGTGCGCCGAGATTCACTTACAAGCTCCCTCTCCGGTCGTAGAGCCGGTTGTTTCAGACGGGCAGCAACCTCACTCGTTTCCTCTGTTCCACTTTCTTTCCCTTCCTCCGCCCCTCCCCCTCTCTCCCTCTCTCTCTGCCTCACGTCGTTTTCTGACCCATTGGTCGGAGCCGATCACCGATAAGACCCCGGAAAGGCACCGGAAACAAATGTGTGGATTCGACGCGCCGGCCCCAACTTGGGGCTGTAGATAGAGATAGAAAGAGAGAGCAGTGAGGGGCTGCAGAGCTAGGGGGAGGGGGACCAGGAGGCACAAAGATAGATACTCATAAACCCATCATTCTCAGCTGAGACTAACACACCGAGACGGCTCCGCGGGGCGCGCGCATGTGGATAGATGATAGAGCGGGGATAGACTGCCGGACGGCTCCGGATAGACAAATGTGACGGATAGATCCCGGCAGCGTGACTGAGTGAATGCGGGGGAAGGTCTCGGCAGTCTTGTTGGCCGGTGGCGCGGCGCCGAGACGAATGTGGGAGGATAGATAGATAGATGGATAAAGACAGGCGACCGTAGGGGCGGCCAAGGGGGAGGGGGTGCACAGTGGTGGTCCACACAATGCCAGCTGCACGGGCTGCACAATTGGTGAAATGTCCCGCAGCGAGGCGGCGTGTGAAAAGGGAACAAAAATTAAATTTCGGGCAAAAAGAAGAGAGGAAACAAGACGGGGCGAAAAAGGAAGAGCAGGCAGACAATACACACGATTACCCACATTCACTTAGACGGAAAAACGACCAACACAGCAAAAACAGCATGGCCTCGCCGTGTCCGACAATGCTGCCTTCCTCTGTCTTATGAGCGATGCAGTCAGGCTGGAACGGACAGCCCAAGGGTTTAACCAAGCGCGGCGAAGACTTGCCTCATTAAAAAATAAAGACCCAGATGCCCGTTTTAACAGGATTATATCGGAGACTTTCCCACCGCACTTTTAATACCCTCCCAAGCAGACGGCAATAATTGAAATGCGATTGCGCCCAATCGAAACACGCGCGTCGCACAAAAAGGAACGAAAGAAAATAAAGATTAGAGGCAAAGGAAAACGGCGCCATGTGCGAAGGAAGGGAACGGGCGGCTTGTTCCCTCCAATAAGTTTTAATGACGACACCTCTCTTTTTTCTCTCTCCACTCCGATACACAGTGGACTGGAACAAACTCCCTCTGTTTCTTGGAATTTTCTTTTTGTCAGGCTGTTACGTGACCGTCATTGATAATGGGGACAGCAAGCTTCCAGGAATTCTAATGTCTTTGTCTCCGCGACTCTTTTTTTCAGTTGGCTGACCGATAGGCTGGGTTTTAACTGGTTTTTATTGCGATCAGGACCGATGTTGTCAATTGAGTTTGAAGCGGTGCAGTCATACCATACAAAGGGTGGTCTTCTGACGGCCTGCTCACGCTGAAGGCCTGCAAGGGGGGCTGGGGGTGGAGCCCCCCAGCGAGCGTAGCCAGTCCTGACAGTGTACTCACCCACAAAGGGCACGAGCCCCTCTTGCTCGTATGCGCGTAGCGTCTCCTTGCCCGAGCACGGCTTCCTCCCCGGCTTGGGGGTCAGGCTGCAGCTGTGGTGCTGCTCCCAGAACTCGCGGAACCAGATGTTGCGGCAGTTGATCTGGCCGCCGTCCGCCTGCGCCTCGTTCCTACGCAGCGACTTGCACTCGGTCAGGTTGGGCCGCAGCGACTTGTAGTACGTGTCGAACTCTGCAACAGGGTGCAAGGTGTCAAGCCTCTTCCACAATCATCACCAAAATTTTGACAATGCAAATTATTTGCCCTCTTTTTTTGTACATGCCTGAAGTAAAGAGCAATAGGTAACCAATCTGACAGTGATATCCCATTGCTTCTATACAAACATGTTCACCCAGCCACCAAAGCCACTCTAAACGTCAACTCCAATAGCCAGACGGACGCGAAAGAGGTGGGGCAATTCGCTTGATACTGATAACCCAGGCTGAAACAACCGCCAAATTGGTAAACAAACCAGCAAGAAAAAAAATATTGGGGGATCGAATTGGCCGAGCCGCAGGCCGTAATTGGGAGTGGAGAGATCTAAATGAAAGGCATACGAGACTGGAACCCCCGAACGCCTGCAGCACAGATTCAGCGTGCGCTAGGATACGGAGCTATTGAAATAAAGAAAACTGGAGCAAAAAAACGGGCGGTTCAGTTCGTTAGCAAACCGCGACAAAAGAGAAGAGAAGTGTTCCAGGAAAAAGAATATCGGTGGCTCGCGGCTGGAAATGGAGCGTGAGTGCACCAACGAGTCCAATTGTCCGTGAGTAACAAGACGAGAAGACCGTCTGCCAGATACCACCTGCGAGGAACATCCTTCCACGCCGCGTGCTTTCCAGTGCCAGCCTTTTGACAAATGCCCCCTCTTGAAAAACAAAAACAAAAGCCGAGGACCCTTTTTAGCACGCAAAGCGCCATGATCCGCCTGGGGCCCAGGATGCTTTGTTAATCAGCGATTCAAGCAGGGCAAGTCAGGTGAGCTTCTGGCCTAATTGGGGGCGTCATTACCTCACCAGTTAGTACACTGGAAAAAAACGAGATTGGATATAATTGCACTCGTTCCTGGAAATACGGTGCAAGTCCTCTCGCCTGGCAGTGTACGCGCCCTTGGCCACCGCACGGTGGTGCGCCCAGAACGCCCCTGCGGCTCTCGAAAATGAATATAATGCACGCGGCTGCCTATTAAAGGATTTGCCGGCTGAAGTTTGCGCATGCATAAACCACGTGTATAATCCAACAACGTCTATAATGGAATCTGACTCGGCCCGTGGGAACTTCTCCGAGAACCGCATGCGCGACGACGATCCTGGAGGGTGACGCAAGGGCGCGTCCGGAAAAAGAAATGCCACCCCACGCTCCGCAGTGGGCCAGCAGACCGGCGCAGGCGGCCAAAACTCGAGACGCATTTTGAGCTCCAGAGTCGCTCAATAGGACTTGATCTAAACGTATGGCTGCATAAATAGATTCCTCGTTCAGAGGGCAATTTATTGGTGGGGTCGAGCGTTTAGTTTGAGTCCCGTTTCGCGACTCTGAAGCTTGAAATCTGTCCAGGATTTCGGCCGCCTCCACCGGTCTTCTGGCCCGCTGTGCGTCGCTGTGCACTGGGCGCTCGACTGCTTCGGCGGCCGGGCCCTCCGAGGGATTACTCAGGCAGATAGCATTACTATTATGACTATTCCAGGATTTAAGGGCGATCCACCCCCTGACGCCGCCAAGGTCCCCGGCTCGGTCCCCGGCGGGACCTGTCCAGCGCCTGTCGCGGCACTCCGATGATAAATCGCAGACACGGCGCGACGGTGAGGCCCCGGAGAAGCGGTCGAAGCGACGGCCAGGGTCCGGCACTCAGAACAAAAATCCGGAATGCCCTTATCTTGCCCGCACAACGCTCCGCTGCCTCGCCCCCGCGGCCTGAGTTTTTCCATGTTACGACCGGCTGCGAGCAAAAAGGCGCCTGGAAGGTGGGCAAGCTCGCTCTCATCTCTGCTTGACGAGATGGCCTCGCCTAATGGCAGCGTTTGGAAAGGAGGTGGGGTGAGGTGCGGGGGCTGGGATTGGAGTGGGTAAGCGGTATGCCTGTGGCTGCTTGATTAGACGCTGTTTTCCTTGGTTGTATTTGCCTTGGGGATTCGCAGCGCAAGACCAGGTGGACTGGACTGCGTGGCTGGACCGGCTCGACCGCGTCAACATCGACGCACAAGCTGGTGCCCCGCATCTTGGCGCAGCTTAAATCCCAACCCCGGGTATCACCAACACGAGAAAAGTTCCCGGAACCAAAACAAGCACGTTTCCCTGCGGAGGGCGGAGCGCGTCCACGTCCTCCTGGTGAAGGACGTCCAATTCTATCATCAGCAACTATGTCGGCTAATATCCTGCCTTTGGTTCGCGCTTCACGCAGCCTCGCGCCACAACAAGGTCGTCTGAAGAGGCGTTAGTTTCCCCGGCAGCCACTTGGTGGCGCCACTGGGCGGGCTATAAAGACGTGACGAATTCTCCGTTCCAGCGAGTGGTCCGGAGGATAAGAACTGCCGGGCGTCTGCCTGCCTTCAGCCTGCCTCGGCCGGGGGGCTGGGAGGGTGTTCGGCCCGGCTAACTCCGGAGTCACTTCCTCGCTCTGTCTCTGCCTCTCTCTCACTGAGTCGCCGGGCGAAACGCGTCCAGCATCCAGGCGTGCCAGGCCGGATGTATCCCGCGATACCACAGAGAGACGGCGGAATTCCCGGACCGCTTCCCCTCCATCGCACGCAACATCTCCAAAGAAAAGCCTATTAGTGGGACTCGCGCTCAAGCGATTCTTGACCGGCTGCACCAAGTCGGCCAAAAAAAAGAAAGCAGCCATCGAACCTCTCTCAGCCATCTTTTATCTCGAATACGTCTCCTTTTCCGGATTTCTCCAAGACTTTCGCAGAGATTCTGGTGGGGCGGCCAAGGCACAAATAATTCGTCTCGTGGCCCCGGATCCGGGTTCGATTCGACGTGCCGTTAAACTTTCACGCCACATTTCACATCTATCATGCAGCCCATCGCTGCGCCTTAGTAATGGAGAGCTGCGTATCAAATTTTCACATCTTGTCCCGGAAATGGTACACGTCTCTGGACCCGTGCCACGGCACGGATTAGGGAGGCGTGGTCCTCCTTCAAGAACTGTACGGTCAACTCCAGGAAAGCCTTCAAACCGTCCTGGGGGATGATAAAAACAAGCTGGTGAAATGTTGTTTGCATGCGCTGTGTCCTAAGGCATTAGGTGAGTCCCAGGAGAAACAAGCTCAGGGTGTGTTTGAACCGATTCTCCCATTATCAGTGCAGGGCAACCGAGGGTAGCACACGGCGAGGGCTGTGACTCCTTTCCCCAGGCCCCTTAAGTGCATGCAGATGTAAGGGCAGGTCCTGACCAAGCTTTGCACCTAGTAGTGTTCGCGTTCTGGACGCGGGTGCCCTAAGAGCCGCAGACCAACCACCAATTTCAATCAGGGACCAATTTCAATGGCCACAATATCCTCCAACCCACGGCCTGTTTGAGACTTATTCGCGTTGATTTGCATCCAATCGGAGCCTATTCTGCCCACAGGTCCGCATTTTAAGCGATTATCAGTAGTCACTGTCACGGTGTGAGTTTGGACCTCTGCACGACAATTTCCAGGGAACTGCGCGCAAAGTCCCCCTTCCTGGAGCCACGGCCGCCGAGGACGGGACACGGGCCGGCAGCAATAGAGTTAGCCGGGGCCGTGAGTGTGGGCAGGTGTCAGCGGGAGTGGGGTAGCCCCGGGTAGGGTGTATGCATATGGGGTCGTCCCTTATTGGGCCTCTGTCGTGTGGTCCTTGATGAGCGCCGGATTAGCCAAGATCCCCGTGCGATACCGGAGCTGCAAGAGGACCAAGTCCCAGTGCGACAAAGAGCAAAATTGAGATCGTGGGACTACGCACAGTGGTCCGAAATCCTAGACGTGTTTTGAGCTTCAAAGTCGCTAAATTCGGCTCGAACGAAACGTGTGACACCACCAATCGCTTGCTCTCCGAACGAGGAGTCCATTGGTGAGGTAACACGTTGGGTCAGAGTCCCATTCGACGACTCTGAAGCTTAAAACACGTCTAGAATTCTGGCCGCCTCCATGGGTCTTCTGGCCCACCCTTCGAGGAGATATGAATCGTCCGGATGGCAAATATATTGCAAACCCTCTTTGCTACCCACGCGGCCTCATTATCTACAACGCCACCATGAATTACACCTGTCCGCGATTCCGCCGGCTCAATGAAACTTGCCCGGCGGAAGATCCCGTTTTTTACCCTCAATTTGCGATCCCCCCACCGGCCTCTGATTATGCAACTTGGCTTCCCTTTTGGCTCCGCGGAACTAGCCTTCCTCAATCCCCCCGAACAAGTGGAGCGGGCTAAGCCGGCCGCGCTATGGCGGTGCATGGAAGGAGAACAACAACAACAACAACAACAACAAAAATCACGACACAGGAATAAAACAAGTCCAGCCACATAACAAAAAATTCGCAGCAGGTAAATATTTTCCCGCGAAATCTGCAACCTCAAGCAACAATATATGCTTGGGCGGTTTCATAGGAAGGCTCAGGAAGAGCTCACTTTGTTGCCCCAGGAAATTTCAAAAACAAATCTTGCGTCCTTGTGAAAGGGTTGAATGGTGAATGGTTATTTCACCATAATTCCCCCCCCCTCTTTACGTCCGGGGTGGGGCCGGCTCCACACACAGCCTTTGCATTCTTATTTATTTTCCTCGCTCTGCCATTAATTACCTCCGCTTGGGGTGGGGCTGCTTGACGCCCAACACTTCATTTGGGCTCAGCCCCCCTCTCTTTTTCCTCTCGCCCTACAACCGGCCCTCCGAAACGGCACGGTATTTACATGGCGTGGCCGTGTGTGCGTGCCGCGCGTGAGGAGTCCCTTCGGAGGCAGCCCTCTGGGGGGCCCTGGGGCACAGTGGGCCAGAAGAGCGGTGGAGGCGGCCAAGACGCGTTTTGAGCTCCAGAGTCGCTGAACAGGGCTCGAAGCAAACGTGTGACCCCACCAATGGATTGCTCTCCGAACGAGGAATCCATTGGTGGGGTCACCCGTTCGGTTCGAGTCCCATTTAGCGACTCCGGAGCTCAAAACGCGTCTAGAGTTTTGGCCGCCTCACCGGTCTTCTGGCCCACTGTGTGGCGCGGCGTGGCTGCTGTTCCTGCGGA